CCAGAAAATCTTTCTTCTAACGTCATCGCGATATTTGCTATCTTTGCCCGTCTCATTATTGATCAAAATGTGTATATTTGGATCATCGTTTGCGAGGAGAATGATTGGAATGTCTATTTCGCCCGAGCAAGAACCCAAAATACAATTTGTTTCAGCGCCGCCATGATTTGGCAATGCGAAGTCGAGTAGGTAAGCTATTTTGTTGTCCTCATGGTTTGTTTTCAGTTTTAGAATATTCTCGATACTTTCAATACTAATCTTGATATATTTTTGATCCAATCAAGATTAGTATTGAAAGTGCCTACCTGTCTTTCTTTTTCAAGATAATTCCAAATTTCTAACAATTTTAGAGCTGGGACAGACAAGTGATGTTTCTGATGACGTAATTGCTGGTTTAGAAAAACGTGTGTACCATGTACCGCGAAAGGCGACTTACATCAGTAGATAACACTAGAAGAAAAATTTTCTGGAGGAATTTTAATCGTGATGAAAAATGTTTAAAGCTTTCTTTCTTTATTACCACCGTGCATGAGTAGTATTTTACTGCACATTAAACACAGCAATTATGGAGACAAACTGCAAAAGCAATGATCGAACAAGATGACCCTGCAATGCATGGCTAGAAAGAAGATTTACAGTGTGAATGGGTATCTGAAGCACATCAAAAGGATATATGCGAGCTGCTAATCAGCCATTTATCCCGCTCATATTTTGAATCTTCTGATGAAGACATAAGAATAATCTATTTACATATCCACATCTCTTGTAAAGTAGTATTATAATCCAATATATTGAATGACGAAATTGGTACTGAACGAAAAAACTAACGAGAAGCCACTTTTCAGGTTAATTTTGAACCAAGTGGTTTCTGGTCCCCAAAATACATTTGCCTATCGGAGTCATTGGGTGTGTTCTGGAATAGAGAAACCAGGTGATTTTCTCTTTTGAAGGGCACTTTTTATTCATATATAGGTCAATTGTGGCACAATTCTCACGAAAGAAGAATTTTATCCACCATACTTGAAGCAATTCAGTCTTCCACCGGGATTTCGTTATGTGTTCAGCTTGGAACCCGTTCTGGAGTAGGAACCCGGGGGAATATTTGTTCCGAAGTTATTTTTTATTTACTTTCAGCCGAAAAGGGAATCAAAGTTGTCCATCATATCAGAAATAAACCTACGTACTCGGGTCACTAGGGAGCCTTCTGAAGCCAGAAGCCAGGTGATTTATTATTCTGAAGGACATTTTTCAAGGGTGCCTTAGCAACGTGGGCATAGTTAATTCAGTCCACAAAAATTTGAATTAAACAGACTTTTTCCGCGATTTTCGGGGCGTACACTCCCTAAACCCAGGGGAATTTCAACTTATGAATTCCCATTCTGATCATCGACCAACATGGTGCCTCCGTCAGGCATAGCTGAAATTGTGTCCGCGAGTTTAGGAACAACGGTCAGCTAGCTCCCTACTATTAGAAGAATAGTAGAAACTGAAATAACGGTTGATGGGATACCGTTTCCTTTTTGAAGATGTAAAGTTTGGTTTTATACACTAGCTGGCATACTTGAACATTATTTGATTATCATGATACTTTGATTATACCCGAACACATAAAAATACGAAATTCTTTTATTTGTACTGCGATGAGGTTTTCTTGTGATTCATCAAAATTATGATTGTGCTTCTATTATGTTTCAGTACTCTGTCATTGCATAATCGTGGATTCCAAGAATTTAAAAAGGGAGTTTTTACAATATTAGGCAACCTTGGTTATGGTTTCAACACATACCAACACGAACGGTCTGAAAATCACCATCCGCCAAATATCTAACCCATCTATAAAACATGGAACAAATAGTGTGGCATCGCGTACAGAGTGGTATTACACATCCACCTCCAAACAGGCACCCGGTTTAAAAATAATTTTGAAATGCTAAACAAAGTAAACATCTATTATATCAGAAGAACAAAACAAGTTACTGGCTTATAAGCACTGGTTTTCAGTTAAAGATACGTTAATGACTACGGTCAATCTGTTTCACAGAGGCTTCTAATACCTCTATAAAAGATGAATACTTTCAACATTTGACGTCACATCACGGGGCGTCAATCATTGTCTCAATGGCGCGTGCATTGTTTACATAAGACGTTTCTGGTCCGGGCAGAATGGTGCCTTTTACTCATTTTACATACCAATTTACACTAAATAGGAAATATTTTTTACCTACATATACCTCAAACACCTTTATTTATTTTTCCAATGCTTAAAAAATATGTTCTAGAATTTAATTTGCAGAAGGAAAAAAGTTAATATTGGAGGCTTAGTAAGCCGCACCGTTGTCATCCCTATCATTGATTGTAGCGACCTAGTAAATATTCACTGCTGATCAGTGTGGGCTACGGTACCCTCGATTAGCAGACCTTCTTTCGGCAGTCTACGGTAGTGACGTCACTGCTTACATCCAAGCTGTATCCATGCCACCCGATGATCTACAGAGTTGATTTTGAGTATGTCATGTAAATAAAGATCTAATTAATAATTTCTATAACATCTGAAGCCTAAAAGCCTAAAGAAAGACTTGCTATAGGCAGATTTATCTCTTAACTAATGCATCTTTACCAGTCTATTAAATTTTTGCCCCTCTCGGTCCACGGCGAACGGTTCCGAGGAGAGGAACTTAGAAAATGACAGAAAATTTCAATTTTGAGGCTGTATTTGCGATATTGGCGTATTATGATATTTTGATATGAACATTATAAAAATTTGAAGAAGGAATGCGACTTTAGCGTACCTATAATAATTTATGAGAAAAAAGAAAAGTTCGGAATCGGGTTAGTGTGGGACTTGTTTGAATTCGAAAAATAATCACGCCTGGCACGGGCTTGAATCAATCTCATCCCCATCGTGAATTTGACCTGGAAACTTTCCTACAATCTTCAGTTGACCTACGGGCCTGTCGACGCTAAGAAGCAGACCAATTTCCTGATTGATTCTACGGCCGCAAGCTTTCTTATATTATTACAGATATAAAACCATGCGTGTGCATTGTTCTACTTCCGTTATCACAGAAGAAAGATAGTTGTATCATTACTATTATGGACTAATATAAAAATGTCTATTCAATCCATAACTTAGTTTTACCTTCAATCACCACTGATTGAATTAATACGCGAGTTCTACACTTTATATTTACCCGAATCTATTAAAATGTTCTGCTGCTACGATTATACAATGTTATTTTATTATTAACCATTGCTGCACCAGATAGCAATTATTATTGTCGACTGAGTTCATTGATCTATAATGTGTTTGTCACTACCGTCCTGGTCACCGTCCATGTCTTCACAAGGATGTGTGTGTGGGTGTGTTTTGTTTTTTTTGGGGGGGGGGCGAATGGTTAGCGCTTGTGCGTTGTATCATAAGGTCTCTCGTTGAATCAACACTGGCGTTGTTTCCCCGGCTGTACGTGACAAGGAGTAAGGTTGCCATGTGGGTTCTCTCCGGTTTCCTCGCACTGCTAATGACCCCTACACGCAAGCGATTAATTGAAATAAAATTGAACCATTTGACAGTTCCGAAATGAGTTAGTTTGTGTCGGGTGGCCAACATGGATGGATGTTGTAAAACTCGCGGTCATTGCTTCAGTAACAACGGGTTCCACACGTTTTGAAGTCAGGTCTTATTTCTGGAACGTTATATTGAGTCTAGGCCTACCTTATAATGTGTCTCTGTTGTTACAATTTTAAAGCCTGAGACAGACCTTATAATGTAACGCGCACCCGTTAACCATTCGGCCATCCAACCCCGGCCATCCGATGATCGCGAGGGTTGATTTTGGCTTGTCATGTGAATATATAACATTTGAGCCAAACAAAGTCCTGCTATAGGCAGATTTAGCTCTTACATAATGCATCTTTAACCTGTTTATTTCCATGACATTATTACCATACCAAGTTCAACATCATCGCATATATTCACCTCAAATCTAACCCTGATATACTAAACCAAACACTGGTGTCTTTAAAAACCTTATAGTGTTATAGAAGTATGGGGAAATAATTTTGATGGTCAAACACTCTTCTGTTTTTTGGTTTTGAATAGTTGCCAGAACTATTAAAAAAATGTTTAAAGAAGAAAACAAAAATTAAAAGCTCAATTTTTATATTAATAAAATGTTTTATTCAAAATTTCAGTTTATGCGGTGACAGCTGCGCCGGCTTTTAGTTTCAAAACGTACAAAATGGTGAACAGCTGGAAAAAATGTATAAAAAATGTTTAAACATTGAACAAACAAGTATTCGTCGTTTTAGATCCTAAAACAGATTTGTTTCACTGACATGGATATTTTTTGTCCGTTTGTCCGTTTGATATCCATTAGGCCTACAGAATAATGGCAGCCACATCAGATTTCAAATAAGTGGAGATTCCTGTCAATCGTCTAGAAGGCGATGATGATGGTTTCTGAACAATTCGGGACTTGTATTATGATGGACTATAGAAAATGTAATTGTCTAAAGGAACATAAAACTAACTCAAAAGTATCGGGTTTTCCCTTTAATGATACGGTGTCCCTTTAAAATAAACGTGAAACATAAGAATACCTCTGTGAAGTAGTCTTCAAATTCGACTGCAGTCACTCGGTTATCATCTGGAAGTAAAATATTGGTATCAATTAGTAATAGAAACATTTTGCAATACAGGAAGTAACTGATAATTCAACATTTTAACTGAACAACGAAACCTTTTTTTAAAATATAAAATGATAATGTGGTCTGTCCACTCTCTGTGTTAATTCTCACATCTACTTTGGAGACGTCAGCAAAGTAAATGGCCAAATTTAATTGCAAAATAAATAAATATTAGTTTGACATCTGATCTTTCGATAAAATATGTTTCTGGTTACATTTTGGGGAAATAAATCTCACACTGTTAGACGATTGACAGGTAATACATAAGGCCTTTGCCAAATAATACTTACTGTTCTGATCAATTTTGTTGAAATAAAGAGGAAGATCACTATCAGTGACGAAACCATTCTTGTCCATATCCAATTCCAAGAAAAGTCCCTTTGAAACAATTTTCATACCTGGCTCACGAGAAGCGAAGGAATTTTCGAATTCAGCTTCGGAGATTCTGCCATCCTCTGTAAATAAATGAAATATTTAATTAAAATTAACAAAACCCCAGCCGTCAAAGGGCCATTAGTAATTTCACCAGTACTATGATGATCATTATATAAAATTCTTGGCTTGGTTAGCGATACTTTCTATAGGTGGGTGGTCCTGGGAGGGGGTCTCGGGGTCTGGACGTATTGATGCCACACTATACTTAGGAACAGCTGTTGACTAAACTTCGTATATAGCCAGTTTGCGAACAACGCCAGCACTTGAAACTAATAAAGAAAATGTCTCTATTATTCTTTAGTTTAACACCGTGGGAGGTTGGCTGAGCGAATGGTCGAACGCCTGCGCTTTAGATCATAAAGTCTGTCATTGAGTCAAGTGGCGTGGTTTCGATTCCCAGCTTGTACGTGACAAGGAGTAGGGTTTTCACCGACTCATCCGAAGACCTCGATGGGTAAGCCAATTACTGAAATAAAACTGAACCATATGTTAGTCCCGAAATGACCTAGGTTATTGTGTCGAGTGGATGTTAAACCTCACTTATCTCTCTCTAGTTTAAGTCCGCCAATCATACTATGTTAATTCACCCAACATATAAATATAGGTTTCTGTACTTACTGTCGGTATCGTATTCTACGAAGATGTGTTGCATATCGTTTCTGTCGAATTCATTGTTGCCATTGGAGTCGGCTTTGGCAAATAGTGCCGTTGAGCTTTTTCTAACCATTGCCTTAAACTGGGCAATAATTTGGTCCGTGGTTCTAAACAAAATTGTTAAGATTTATTTAAATATTTTCAAATTTATGTAAATAGTAATATAAGTACTAAAAGGTGTATTTTGGGACCTCTAGACAATCAGCCATTATTTGTATTTGGAAGAACCTCAGTTGCAAAGACGTATTAGCGTTGGGGGGGGGGGGGGTATCCAGATGAATGTGCGTTAATGTTGCGTTTAACGGGGTCAACTAATAGGAAGATTAAAGAAGCGCGGGGGCTTAGGATTGACACTTCGCGGGACCTCATTTAACTTCCGTCTTTTCGTAGTTGTCTGACTCCGAGTTCATCAGTTTAGTAAGTAAATAACAATCTGATTCAGTAGTTTGGGCCTTTGACAAAAAGTTATAAAATATATTTATATTTTACACAAGACTGACACATTAACATAATGTGTTTTACAATAAACAATTAGGTTCGAAACCAGGCACATAATGTAATCTGAGATCGGGTTTTGTTAACAGAAACCGCTCAATAACCGTCTTGATGCTATTTTGCGCCAATGCCTACCCCACCCCATCTTCCCATACAGATCCACCATTCGGAAATCCTGTATCGGCCACTGTGGACATAATGCTACGGGTCGTCAATCCCAATCGATTGTTGCAACAATCAAAAGAGATCTTTATTTATTATTCCTGTGGTATAAACTACTTACGGTGCCACTGTAGTTGAAGTATCGGCAACAACCGCTGCTACAATACATGCCAAAATGAAAGCTCTCATTTTAATTCTGAAATTTCTGCAATGATAAAAATGTAAATATGTGCATTAATAAATAAAAAATATGTCCAGGTAAAAATTCAACCACTTTACCTCATTATTATATACACCAAATCATTAAGCTATAGCAGGTTGCCTTTTGTCCGACGTCATCATATGTTATAATAAATATGTGTTTATGGACTCTAATCGAGAAACTAAATAGGTGTACAAGGTTTATCTAACAAGATAATGTGTCCAGCTGGTCGAATTCTAAACCAAATTCATGTCGACAAAATATTATACAGCATAAAACAAACTTTTTAAAATTAAGATTGAGAATATATATAAATTCAATAATTTTTATTACAGTTATTTTACACTCTTTAAAAAAAAGGAGATGGTCTGTTTCTATATTCTAACTAAAGATTCATAATAACGACAGCTACTCTGATCAAGAATTAGAAAAACTCCAGGTGTCCCTGTTGACAGTGCTGGATTAACCATAAGGCAAATAAGGCACGTGCCTTAGGGCCAGCCAAAAATCCAGGCCACAAAATAATAAAGAAAAACTTTTTTGATAATTATCAGGTGGTGACAAAAATGCTTGCCTTTATTTTTATGTAAATAAATTGCATCCTTCTTCATCTACGCGTTTGTCCTTAAAAGCTTTCCATACTCTGGCAAAGGGTTGACACGACGTTTCGTCCGTTTACTTCATAAAATTGACTTTAAAAAAACTAACTGACGAATTTGCAGTCACAAAAACAAGTAAAGTCGTAATCTAGCTAGGCAGTGGATGGGAATATGTAGGCTACTTATAGGAAATAGCCTACAGTACTGTCAATGTTCTGAATTTGTTTGTAATAAATTTCTATTGCTAAATTTAACTTAATTCCTTTTGTCAATGAGCCCAACATATCTGTATTTTCAGGCCACCTATCAAAATGTGCCTTAGGCAGGGGCGTAAATGTGTGTGTACCACCCCCCCCCCCCCCCAGGAAGAAAAATAGTCGGTCGCAAAATCAGTGCAGTCGGTCGCAAAATAAGAGCAGTCGGTATCAAAATAAGTGCACACTGCATACGTCACGCTACTCACGCAAAACTTTAGTATAAAATAACCTTGTCAAATGCTGTGTTTCACTGTTATTCTGTTGTGAGTATGTTGGTCTATGAACAAATTTCCCCCAGGAAGAAAAATAGTCGGTCGCAAAATCAGTGCAGTCGGTCGCAAAATAAGAGCAGTCGGTATCAAAATAAGTGCTCACTGCATACGTCACGCTACTCACGCAAAACTTTAGTATATAATAACCTTGTCAACTTATCATGTTTGAAAAAATGTCGTGTTTCACTCTTATTCTGTTGTGAGTATGTTGGTCTATGAACAAAATTTCACCCAGGGAGAAAAATAGTCGGTCTCAAAATAAGTGCAGTCACTGCAGTCGGTCTCAAAATAATGCATCGGCGACTCAATGAATTAATGAGGTAAACAAACAATACCAGAATAGATCCCAAATACTAATTATTTGCGTGAATCCGTGAGCCTAAATTGCAAACGTCACACAAAACTATAGTATAAAATAACTATGTCTGCTTGTCATGTTTGAAAAAATGTTTATCACTCTTATGCTGTTGTGAGTATGTTGTTTTATGAAATTTTTTTCCCCCATGGTAAAAAAATAGTCGGTCTCAAAAAATATACTAACCGCAGTCGGTCTCAGACTAAATGAATTAATGAGGTAAACAATTACAAAACAGGCGAAATTGACTGATAGGCCGCAAGATTCTGTCTCATTTCTTATTCTCTCGTTAGCGAGAATTTGGTTCCATTTGCCATGACAATGACTAAAATTTTCAGGCCTGCGGCGCTCGATTCCGTTGTAGCAACATTCTTCTATTCCTCTGTTTTCTTATACTGTCTCGGCACTATCATATTCACGGTTATAGTGAACTGCCCAGTTATACTGGTGTGTGGGTCGTGGGGCGTCAGACTATACAAATGTTATGTCAACTCTTGCAAAACAGGCGGAATTGACAGGGGCAGATCTCGAGATTCTGTCCCATTGGCTCACATTTCTGGTCCTCTCGTCCACAAGACTCCCCCCCCCCCCCCAGCAATGACCTCAAGTGCTAGGATATTGACTCAATTTTTCAAAATTTTCTCAGGTTGCTCAGTGTTATAGGCACAATGTATGAGAGAGAAAGAGAAATGGGGTTTAACGTCCACTCGACACAAACTAGGTCATTTCGGGACTAACATATGTTTTTTTTAAAATTTTATTTCAATAATTCGCTTGCGCATAGGGGTCTTTAGCAGTGGGAGGAAACCGGAGAAAACCCACGAAGTTGGACAGGCGATTATCATGTATGACATAAACATGTCAACTTAAATAAAACTGCTTTCCGGCGAGACAACGATCGGCGAACAAGTATGTTCTACTGGGACGCTTAATGTTATAGCCAGTTGACATTCATTGTGGGGTGGGATTGTGGATGGCGCCCTAGATTTGGAACCACCCCCTATTCCCAGCTTCGAGATCTGCTCTGCACATGTCCCCTAGAAAACTCGCGCCTGTGGTGCGCGGCTCCTGTCTGCGTCACTCGTACTGGGGTATGTGCATCAGTCGGTCGCATTTTGGCCAAACACCCCCCCCCCCCCCAAACAAAAGCGTTATGTACGCCCCTGCTTAGGGCCAACAGAGCCTTAATCCGGCACTGCCTGTTGACACGCTACCCTAAGTGAATGTTTTAATTACGTCACCGATATTGCCTGATATTATAATAAGACGTCCTAAAATAATGAAGATAATTATAGTAAATCTGTCACATTTCTTTATGTTAGTTAGTTCGTCATATGTTTTTTACATTTTTCGTGGAAATTAACTGTGATTCATTTTTAAACCTTCCAGCTGAGAATTGATACCCCTGGTTAAGTGTTAAGTTAAAGGTTGGCTCCCCTACCCTGAATGTAAATCCATTTAAGTAATTTTGTGGGCCTTCCCATCCTAAATCTAGAATCCGGCACTGAAAACTGAATAAGTCCACTTACCTTGAAACAAATTTACTTGTGAAAGATCATGTGGTGTTTTCAAATATTTATAGAGCAAAGATAAAAACTAGGACGTCGCAGTTTGGATAAGAATTCTTTTATAGCTTTAATCTATACCAATCTTTAGCCAAAACGTGGCAAGTACACTGTATAGTCAGCAGTATATCACGTCATCAACCTCATGTCTAAAAGCCTCGAAAAGATTACAAAATCATGTGGTGCTGCTGAAGATATTTTTAGAAGGGCCAATTCTCCTCCCACGTTGTCATTTTAATATGTAACTTCTGGCATTACCACTCATTTCAAGAATTCTAAGCTTGGTGCCGGTCATTATCACGTATGTGATAGAACTGGTTAAACACGTTCCAAATATAATTTTAACACGGAGATCAGGAAGACACGATTTATCCTTCTATATAATTGACTGAAGTGACGAGTGATAACAGATACATGGGCGAATTTCTGCTCAGTAATAATTCCTTCGAAGACCAAAAGTTGTTATGTAGATAAGGGAAATAGTCCGTACATTACCTTGTTTTTATTCATTCTATACTTAATCAAAAGAAACCTCATTTCTCGACCCTGTGTGTCTCAAACACATCAGTTAACCCGGGAGCCCAGTGAGATTTAATCAAAATATTGAGTCCAAAAGGTTTGAGGTCTACAATACATATTTTACCCCTAGATCATTTTGGAAAGCCAAGTCTTAAGTTTTGTAACCTGTGCATATAACTGGGAGCGCTCCCCCTAACCCTCCCATATTTAATGGGAGTTAAAATTCAATGTCCATCTACAATTTTTTGCAAGCGTTTCACACTTAACACTAAGAAATAGAATGCATGACTTAAGAGTATACAATGTTGTGCTAATGCTACTTAAGAGCTGAATTATTTAGCACTAATTAGTGACCGTAATTAAAATTTAGAGTCCATAACTTAAACAAAGCCTAAAAGCTAGCTAACCAAGTCATGAAACCAAAAATATCACTTAAGGGCGACAAAAGTTGATCAAACCTTGCTTAAGACTCGTTCAAAGGTGACAAAGGTCAAAGGTCACTAATCAATGACCATAATTAAAATTTAGTGTCCATAACTGAAACAAAGCCTAAAAGCTAGCTAACTAAGTCAGGAAACCAAAAATATCACTTAAGAGCGACAAAAATTGAACAACCCTTGCTTAAGAGTGGTTCAAAGGTGACAAGAGTCACATAACGACGTTTGTGTGTATTTGATTAAATTGTCTTGTCCGGGATTATTTTTCTTTCTAACACCATTTCTATGGGTTTCACTGCATAAAATAACTGCTTAAGAGCATGAAATGCTGTACTAATGCTACTTAAGAGCTAATTAATTAGCACTAATTTGTGACCATAATTAAAATTTAGAGTCCATAGCTGAAACAAAGCCTAAAAGCTAGCTAACCAAGTCAGGAAGCCAACAATATCACTTAAGAGCTACAAAAGTTGAACAAACTTGGCGTAAGACTGGTGACAAAGGTCATATTTTGGGCCACATTATGACCAATCAATCAATCAAATTGCTTATCTCTGCTGATCCTAAACATAAAATGCGCATCTTCGAACTCCATCAAGCCATTCACATAATCAACACCTGCACCAAGTTTAAAAATTCTACCTCAATTAGAAGAAGAGTTATTGTGTCCCAAATCGCTTGATGAACAGACAGACGAACAGGCCCATTTTAATAGTTCTCTGTTTTCTTCGAAAGGCGGATGACAATAATGTTGATGTCAGCAATAATTATGCACTTGAAAGTATGGCAAAGTTATCAGTACAACAAGGAATTTTAAAATTGAAGGAGACTAAACTTCCTTTTAGGCATTATTCGATTTAACAGCCATTTTAAATTACTTTCGAGGTGTGTGCTTGTTAAAATTAAAGTATTTATTTATTGTGGACTTATCAGTTAGTTTGCGAACAAATTTTCTTATCAACCCCTTTTATTTAACAGAACACAGTTTTTATGGGAAACAATCACAGGTTACTATAGCCTACATCAAGCTTGACAGTACTAGATCCATATTTACAATCGTTAACAATATAATATTATTACGAACAGATAAAAAGCATACAGTTAATGAGGAGACAGAAATGTATGGAACCAGTGGCGGCGCCAAGGGGGGCATTTGCCCTGCCCCCCCCCCCTAAATCTGGTCTGCCCTCTGTCCCCCCCCCCCCAATAATTTTAGAAAATAAAAAAAATGTATTTGTGATACGTTTCGGTAATACTTTCTACAATGTTTAAATCCCACATCCCCACTCAGTCATAGACTTGCATGTTGTAGAGTCTGAGTGATTCCTGATCAAATCCATCCTGCTGTAAACCTGCTGTAAACCTACTATAAACCTGCTATAAACCTACTATAAACAATAACACGTGAATCACATGGGAAGTGCTTTTTACGATCTTCAAAGTTTTTGGGTATATGTTAACGCGGCGAAAATATACATTCACTTGACAGACTCACTCCGTTCGTTTGACACCACCCTCTCTATTCGGACAAGCTGGTGATTTGGTGACGAACAGTATCTGGTCAGCTCTATTTATCTCGACAACCAGTGTCTGAAATGCTGCCAGGCTGCATTTCCGGCAGTCTATGTCACAAAATATCGCGGCGAAAATATTCATTCAATTTGAGTCACTCACTCCGTCCGTTTTACACTTTCCTGTCTGGTCGGATAAACTAGTGATTTGGAGACAGGCGGTATTTGGTAAGAAATATTCAATGCCTGAAATAATGCCAGACTGCATTTCCGACAGTCAATTTTTCAAAATGTTCGGGGGCTTTGTTGAGGTTCGCAAGTCCGTTCATTTGACACTTTCCTCTCTGGGGTCGGATAGACTAGTAATCAGGCAACAGACTGCATCTGATCAGCTCTATATATCTTTACAATCGGTGCCTGAATACTGTCAGACGGGCATTTCCGACAGTCTATTTTTCAAAATTGTCTTGGGGAGGTCCACAATACCCCCACAAGGATTCGCTGCTTTGGCGCTCACAAGGGGACTTCGTTGAGGTTCGTATGTCCGTTCGTTTGACATTTTGTTCTCTGGTCGGATAAACTAGTGATCAGGCGACGGACGGTATCTGGTCAGACCTATTTACCACGACGATCGGTGCCTGACAGAATACTGTCAGACAGCATTTCCCGCAGTCTATTTTTCAAAATTTTCGGGGGAAGGTCTCCCATTAGGCGCTCGTGATTGGACTTTGTCGCGGTTCGCAAGTCCGTTAGTTTGACACTTTACCTCAACGATCAGTGCCTGAAATACTGCCAGGCTGCATTTACGGCAGCCTGTTTTTCAAAATTGTCTGAAGGAGACCTCCCTACCCCTTTGCCCCCTTAACCTTGGACTTTGCCCCAGCTTTGCCCCCCCCCCCCAATCACCGACGGGTGGCGCCGCCACTGTATGGAACACAATGATGAAAATACAAATATTATATAAAAATAATTATCCACTTCGCATACATATATATATATATATAAATAGAAGTAGCATTGGTGGAATACACAAATCGAATATTGTAATTAATCACAGCTCTAACCTACTTTTGATATCTAGAAATTGTCATGGGTCGGTCGCAGGGATTGTATGCCTCCTTTAAGAAGCATCTCTGGTGTTGAAATCGCACAAAACAGCATCGCATTCCGAAATCCGTGCCTCACTCCACAGTAAATCTAATTTACAATTTGAAATATTTAGGAGCGATTATCCATAATAGAATGAAAATGATGAAAAAAGACTATTAGCCAACAAGAGTATCGCATGTCTGTATGAATGTATTACTTGTGTGTAAATGTATGTGTTTTCTATGTTATATGTATTATTAAATGTATGCGTGTTGTCCTAAATGGACGTTTTGATGCAATTAACATCTTATCTTATCTAGCACAAACATCTTGTAAGTATAAGCCGGTCTTGATAGCATTATACGGAAAATAACCTTCCGATTTCGACTTTTTTCCGTAAAGATCCATGTAAAGGAGAACACATAAATGTTTCGAATCGTATATGGACTAATTCATAATTTAATTGTCTGCATTTTTTTAAAACCAGAGAGTTATCCAGTTCTATACTTCCATTCTCAATATTTAGAATAAATGGAAAAACTTAACAATTTTAGCATTTCCATTCCTAGGAATGAGTGATTCGTCGAATAGTTTTTCCGCGTCTCTTTAGGACAAGCAGAGATAAGCAATTTGATGGGTTGATTGGTTAATTGGTCATAATGTGGCCCAAAATATGACCTTTGTTACCAGTCTTACGCCAAGTTTGTTCAACTTTTTTTGCTCTTAAGTGATATTGTTGGCTTCCTGACTTGGTTAGCTAGCTTTTAGGCTTTGTTTCAGCTATGCACTCTAAATTTTAATTATGGTCACAAATTAGTGCTAATTAATTAGCTCTTAAGTAGCATTAGTACAGAATTTCATGCTCTTAAGCAGTCATTTTGTGCAGTGAAACTCATAGAAATGGTGTTAGAAAGAAAAATAATCCCGGACAAGACAATTTAATCAAATACACTCGAACGTCGTTATGTGACCTAAAATTTGACCTTTGACACCTTTGAACCACTCTTAAGCAAGGTTTGTTCAATTTTTGTCGCTCTTAAGTGATATTTTGGGTTTCCTGACTTGGTTAGCTAGCTTTTAGGCTTTGTTTCAGTTATGGACACTAAATTTTAATTATGGTAATTGATTAGTGACCTTTGACCTTTGAACGAGTCTTAAGCAAGGTTTGTTCAACTTTTGTCGCTCTTAAGTGATATTTTTGGTTTCATGACTTGGTTAGCTAGCTTTTAGTCTTTGTTTTAGTTATGGACTCTAAATTTTAATTACGGTCACTAATTAGTGCTAATTAATTAAGCTCTTAAGTAGCATTAGCACAACATTGTATGCTCTTAAGTCATGCATTCTGTTTCTTAGTGTTAAGTGTGAAACGCTTGCAAAAAAATTGTAGATGGACATTGAATTTTAACTCCCATTAAATATGGGAGGGTTAGGGGGTGCGCTCCCAGGTATATGCACAGGTTACAAAACTTAAGACTTGGTTTTCCAAAATGATCTAGGGGTAAAATATGTATTGTAGACCTCAAACCTTTTGGACTCAATATTTTGATTAAATCTCACTGGGCTCCCGGACTAAGTATATCTCCTAGAAATGGCTCCACTATACAGATGTCTTTCGTGTTCTTCCAGCCACAGTAGAGGACCGTCCTAAGGCCTTCATTTGAGCAAGTTTTGTAGTCCTTTGACTACAAGAAAAGTTACTGGCCTATAACTCCCTCCATTTCCAATTACACTGACCTCAAACTGTACTGTACATACATGTAGCTTAACATAATAAACTAATTTCCATTGAAATAAAGGTGAAACCTTACCTCATAATTATATGATTTGATTAAACCCAACTGCTATGCGAAATTTCTGTTCATTTTTAAATGGCCGCCGAACCAGAGTGACGTGGTTCTATGTTAATCGAAAATACAGAAAAAACTGTTTGGTAAGATAAGATTAAGATATCATTGTTCTACTCTTCACTATTTGTAACATAATTACTTATTTCCATGCAAACTGTGATGATAGGTGGTGAAAATTTTGCAACTGAACCTAATTTTACTTGCTCTAAGCCTGCTATAGTGTATCAATTGTAGTCATGGATAAGAATTATCACGGCAACAAATATTGCAGTGAGACAAAAAATATAATTATCTATTTACTCTTTTCGAACTGTAGAATCTGATGTTTCCTCTGATCGCGAATTCCGTAGACGATTTCTAGTGATATCAGCTATTGAAATTCACTGTTCTTGTAGAATCCAGGTTGGAAAATACTGCTATGTAAGATCATTTCGTTTCATAGTAGAATCATCAGACAGCTGAAACACTTACATCCTTTTAGAATGGACCTTTATTATAATATTAGAATTTCATTGTATCAAAATATTCTTTTACCAGCCTGGAGTATGCTCTCAATGCGATTTCTCCCAGCATTATATTAATGTGTATATCAAAGAAACGGTGGCTTGAGTGGAAAGAACACAATCAGATTCAATCACTCATTGTTAGAGGTGCTGCAAATTCAATGCTTTTAATTCAGGATTCAATGACCAGGTTTAAGAAAGATACTTTTTGAAAAACTCTACATGCGAAATATTCCAGTTCAATGTTTGCGAATTTTGATTTGAATTCATAATATATCGGGGTTTGTTATTTTATATTGTTCCCTGTCAACACTTTAGATCAGACAGATCCTTTGTTGCAATATGATAAACTGAAACTATGGAGCCAGTGTCACCGTCTATCCTTAATAAAAAAAATCAAGACGCATTTCAATAGATTTTATTATTTTGTATAAAATTATAAACTAAATTGTAGATTTAATATGCAATATAAACTTCATAAAACAATTATAGATCAAAATTATGAATTAAATATGATACAGCTAGCAGATAGTAGAAAAATATAGTGTTTAAATGTAAAAGGCTGGTGGAAATAAAATGAATTGGGTTTAACGTCATAAGCCATACAGTGTGCCATGAGGGAAATTTTGCCCAGACAACATCGCTACAGCCTATTCTTATATGAATTCCAACTGCCAAGGGATCTTTTATGCGCATGCCAATGTGTACACAGGGACCTTAGTTTTTGTTTCCATATGTTGTCCCTTGCAAGGCCCTCTGTCCTGCACCACTGACAGGGGGGAGTCACGCCAAAAAATCCTGATGAACATTTTCAGCCAATGCACTGATAGAACACGGAACCGCTAGGTTAGCGAGCCAACATCTTACTCACTGAGCCACCATGGCTTCCAAAAGGCTGGTGAACAGTTTGGGTAAAACTAATATATATCATACCAAAGTCTATGAGGGTGTTGACATTTGATATGGCCATCCATTGCCCAAACTTTGTGTCACAGATATAACGATGTGTAAGCATGACAAATAATACATCACTAAGATATTTTGAAAATGAAAAATAAAAATACTAAAATATCGGTAGCCAAATTGTGTTACCTATGCAATTTTCAACTTGGGATATTTAGTGTCCAAAAATGATCACATTGTCATTTGGATCTTTCAATCTTCGGAGATAACCTTATAATTCACCAGATACAAGCACATTCTGAAAAATCATTTTGGGACACGGTACCTGCAGCACAGACAGCACCACCAGCACAGACAAATCCAGGCTCAATGTGAACCACACTTCATTAATATCTCAATACATTTCTCAGTATCTTCCTCCCTGCCAACTATTTTAGTTTTTCTAAAATGCATTATTTTAAATTAGAGTGAATAATAGGTACATAATATGTAAGTTTATAGAATATAAAACATAGACAATACTTAGTTTAAAATATATACATCTTAGGAAGAGACTAATCATACAAGAATAATAAAACAATTCAAAACAAGCAGTTTCCATGCAATATACGCCCACATATTGCGAGAGATGGATAGAGAACAAGCTAAAAAAAATATTCAACTTTTGGTACAATCAGGGACCATAATCCAGGAAATTACGGTTCGATATGCACGAATATCAAAAGGAACCAAGATCTTTTGGATAGAAACATATATTTTAAGTTTCATCAAGACCGGAAAAAGGTGGGGTACGGTGATATATTTAAACGTTTTTTTTAAATCAAATAAAAATTGTGACCTGCAGGTTCCTGAAGCTAAAAAAAAAGATTTTTCATACAATCAGGGGCCAAAATTCAGGAAGTTACCATCCGATATGCGCATGTATCGAAAGGAACCCACATTTTTGCATTTTAAGTTTCATCAAAATCGGATAAAAATTACACCATTTGCATAGAGAAGTGGCCATTGCGTACAGCAATTTTGGTCCGATTTAACGAAACTCAAACTCAACGATCATCATGGTGTAATGGTGATATATTTGAACGTTGTTTTTAAATCAGGTAAAAATTGTGACCTCGGGGGGGGGGGGGACAAGTTAAAAACGAGATTTTTCATATATCAGGAGCCATAATCTAGAAAGTTGCTTTCCGATATGCGGGAATATCGAAAGGGGCCAAGGTCTTTTGGTTATAAACATACATTTCAAGTTTCATCTAAATCGGTTAAAAATTGTGACCTCTAGAGTGTCTACAAGCTAAAAATGTGATTTTTCGTACAATCTAGGGCCATGATTCATGAAGTTTTGATCCGATACATAACAATATCAAAATGAATCAAGACTGACAGGGGCGACGACATAATACATCCATATGAAAATGTGGAATGTGGGCGTATAACAATTTATAAATAATTAAAAACATCATTACATAATATATTTATCAGTAATAAAAATATACTAGGGGCACCATTTAAAACAACTGAAAATATTTCCATCATTTAAAAAGATATATTAGTTATGGGCACAACTTGAGTATAATTAATATGGGCGACGACATAATATGTCCACATGGAAATGTGGAATGTGGGCGTATAACAACTTATAAATAATTAAAAATATCATTACATATTCATCAGTAATAAAAATATTCTAGGGGCACCATTTAAAACAATTGAAATTATTTCCATCATTTAAAAATATGTATTAGCTGGGCACAGCTTGAGTTTAATTAATAATAATATAGATTGAGTTCATTCAAGTCTATGGTGGTGTAGTGTTTAACACCAACCTGATTAAACACAGATCCTATTTCATTTCGTTTTTTATTGTTCAAAATTTCGTTTTACTTGCCTTTTATATTTACTACACTAGGATCTAGAAGAGTTGTATCGGCGTTTTGGCTGAAATGAGGGATAAGCCATATATCGGACCGTAACTTCCTGAATTATGGCTCTTGATTGTACGAATCTTTATCCGATTTAAAAAACCGTTTGAACATGTCACCGTTACACCCTAAGGATGGTTGAGATCGAATTTCGTAAAAATCGGACAAAAACCAGACAAAATGGCCACAATTTTCTTCTTTAATGAAACTTGAAATGTAAGTTTATAACCCAAAGATCTTGGTTCCTAACGATATTCGCGCATATCTGATCGTAACTTCCTGAATTATGGCTCCTGATTGTACGAAAAATCCGATTTAAAAAAAAAACCGTTCAAATATATCACCGTTACACCGTAATTTTGGTTGAATTCGAATTTCGTGAAAATCGGACGAAAATTGCCGGACAAAATGGCCACCCCTCGTACACTAATTAGTCTAAACATGCATCTGGTATATCAAAGTTGTGGACCCTCTCGAGTTCACAATTTTGATCCGATTTGGATGAAACTTGAAATACATGTTTATAACCCAAATATCTAGGTTCCTTTTGATATTCGCACATATCGGATCGTAACTTCCTGAATTATGGCCCCTGATTGTACGTTTTTAGCTTGTGGTCCCTTTAGAGTTCACAATTTTTATCCGATTTAAAAAAAACAAAACATGTGAATACATCACCATTACACACTAAGATCGTGGTTCCTTGTGATAATATCCGAACGTAACTTCCTGGATTATGGCTCCTGATTGTTCAAAAAATCGCATTTTTAGCTTGCACAATTTTTTTCTTCTGATTTTAAAAACCGTTTAAATATATCACCATTCCACCATAATGAAGGTTGAATTCGAATTTCGGGAAAATCGAAATGAAACTGCCTGACAAAATGGCCGCTCTTTATAAGCACATTGTGTAAAAGTATGCAATATGAAGGTTGTGGACCCTCTAGAGGTCACAATTTTTATGCGATTTTGATGAAACTTAAAACTTATCTTTATATCTCAAAGATCTCAGTCCCTTTTGATATTTGCGCATTTCAGACCATAACTTTCTGGATTATTGCCCCTGATTGTACAAAAAATCTGGTTTGTTTTTAGCTAGTTCTCTATCCATCTCTTGCAAAATGTGGGCGTATCCTGCCTGGTAGTCGCTGGTTGTTGTCTCATTTGATCATTATTTAGTCGAAATTTCCCATCTGAAATTCTCGTAAACCAGCAGGTCTGCGACCAACATTTCTTTGTCTTATGTTTTGTCCATATATGGGTTAAAATCATTTTAAGCCTTAAAACTAAATCTAAAAGCCTTAAAAGACATTCCCTTTTTGCCATCTGCTGTTTCACACCAGTGTTGTAATAAATGACTTGTACTTAGATTTTAACAACTACGGGTTAGTGCTAGAGTTATTTTTAACAAAATAATATCTTTTATCAAGCTATTATTATCTAACAAATTTTTACGTAACTGGAGATAATGTTGCACAAAACTAGGATTGATTTCAAATACAGAGGTTGAGTAAGCCCAGCATTACACTAGTGCTACACTGATCTAACTGGTGTTAAACACTACACCACCTTAACCCAGGACTTGAATTGACTCAAGCGATTACAAATGATACCAATATAGAACGAATTATATGGTATCTTTGTATAAAAAATGCATTTTTCTCAACATCTACTGAACCGATTTATTGCATTCAATTTTTGAAATTTATTAGAAACTGGGTTTTACTAGACAAAAAACATCCAACGCATATACTTGGAAATGAAATAAGTCATAGAAAATTGCTTGCACATTTATCTTTTCATAAAGCATTGGGCAATCAAATTGCTTATCACTTGGTCGTAGTATTGATATAATGAAACTATACCTCAAGTTTCATCACTCTCACTCAATTAGACTGACATCTCTTCTCTCACAACTATACATATAATATAAATATTTATCGTCTACTGAATTTCATTTGTAAAATTTTTACAAATTGTCCATTTTTTCATACACCAAGCCAAATTTTATGCATTAGTACAAACAGGTTTATTTTAGTCATATTTTAATTTAAATTCATCATTTTCCTTGGCTTTAGTTTCATTTATTTCGTTTCCAAATTTTTATAAAACCCCTGCAAAAAGAAGCAAAAAAAAATTGATATATATCTTTGTTGGAGCCTTGGACCTATTCACTTGATAGTTTTCTTATTGTTTATGTGCTTGTCTTGTAGGTTTCTTGCTGGTTGTTATGTGTGGTGCAATTCTAGACCACCAGCAGTTAGTTAATCTGCCACTTAAGCAATTCATTCATTTACAGACAGAAATTTTCAATTATACCCTGTTGTTTTTCTTTGATCAATCAAAATGAATTGGAAATCTTATGAAGACATTAATTATTAGTGGATGGATTTTTCAACAATTGTTCAGCTATGAAAATTTTATCTGCAGCTGGTTAGGCTGAAATTGCAAAATTACATCATGTGGTCACAGCTTACAGATTGACAAGCTATCACCTGCCTTCAATTCAGAAGTTCCTGCTACACTGAAGAACTGTCCAAAATGAGCCAAATATAATGAACAGCTTTTTAATAGTGGACAGTTAATAGTGAACACATTTTAAGGTGTTAAAGACTAGCTGATACACTCCACCATATAATGGATTATAAAGACAAAGGATGATGTGATTACAATGCTTTAAATATTTACATGGTCATTAGAAACCTCAAAATCATTGATACTTTTAACACAGATGCCCATATTTATACACTCAGAAGCGAGACTTTCAAATACTCCTCTTTTACAAGCTTCTGCCTTAGTCTTCAAGTCCTTCAAAATATACAGGAAAAAACTGCAAGATACCTAAATAACACCTTCCATTATTTAAAGGCACAATAATCTTGATCTTTCATATATATTTCAAAATTTAAAAATATGTTTTAATTTACTGTAAAGACAGTTGATATTACATCCAAGTATAAAGATAGGTTGCCAGGCAATCAAACATATGCCCACCCTCAGCTGCTGAGTGGTTGCCATATATTTATTGTTTTGTAGGTTGACTTTATTTTGGACGTAAGTTTTTAAAATTAAGACATATTGTCACCCCAAAATGCAAATCAATATATAAAATTTGATGAAATCAAGAAAACCAAATGAACAATGCAAAACCCTGTCAAGAACCATGACCTGCTTTTAAATCTGGTGCTTACTGTCAGTGTTTTATTGTCAGCAATATAATCTAATATAATTACGTCTATGCAAAATTTACAAACGATATCAAATAGTTACATTAATCAGATCTTTCAATTCTGAATAGGAGGGGGGGGGGGTATGTAACCCCACTGGTGATCATTTCCAAATGGCTCAATATTTTGAAATGAAACTTTTGAAAAATGCCAATGGGCTCTTATTTCACATTTTGGTATTTAATTTATACACTTAACTGATTTTATTTCGTAGAATTAGTGAAATATACTCTTCAAAAAAAGTAGGGGATATTCAGAAACAATACAAAACTGCGGAAATGCACTGCTGTTTTTATTAGAGGTAACCAGTGTATGTTAATAACAGGCCAATTGCCTACACATGAACATAAACAGTTCATATGGGCGGCTTATCTGATGGCCCCATTTCACTCGCAAAGAGATACACTGTCAAAATTGAAACTGGACGTTTTTGATTTTTGTCTTAATAATGAGTAATTGCTCCATCAACCCTTAGACATTCAACAATTCGTCGTGACATGCTCCTAATCAACCGTCCAATCACGATTTGGGGCAATCTGACCCACTCCTCTTGCAGTGACACGGCCAATTCTTGCAGTGTTGTCGGTTGACGTTGACGTCGACGAACACGTCTCCCGATCATGTCCAAGACATGCTCTATAGGGGAAAGGTCAGGACTCATGGCTGGCCTAGGCATATGGACAATATGGTGACACTGGAGGTAGTCATTCACGACACAAGCGAGCTGGGCACGGCCATTATCATCTTGAAACATGAAACGTCGACCTGCATGTTGGCCAAAGGGCAGAACTATTGGTGCCAGGATCTGGTCACGCTAGTTCACACCAGTGACCCTTCCTTGAACAATATGCAACTTGAATTCCTGTAACTTGGTACAAGTTTACAGAATGCTGATTGTCCGTTTGTCCTTGATTTCGCAGGACCAGTGTACGAATGTATCGATCCTGGGCTTGTGTAGTGGCTCTAGGACGACCTGAACGAGGTCTATCATCAGCATTGTGTGTTTGTTGGTACCGGTTCCATAGTCTGCTGATTACAGACTGGGACACATTAAGCATGTTGGCTACTGCTTGCTGTGCAGAAGCATGCCAATAGCACGTAGATGTTCATCATGTTGAAGACGTTTCATTTCAAATTAAACGTAACACACTAAAGCAAAGATACGCTAAATAGTAAATCTTATGCAAGAACCGATAGGAAAGCAAACATGGATAGGATAAACCAGCACGTGGCAGTTTTCATCAACCCTTCCTTGAAGTGTCAAATTTGACAATGAACACCTCCCACGTGTATGGCGCAATTGCGTGTCGCATGTGCAGCTCTGAGGTTCTGTTGGGGCGATAAGTTCTTCATCTGTGAACATACTCTCAAAGCATGTCAAGTGTCCATGACTATTTATTATATCACAACCTGCATAGGTATTTGCATCTGAATTTCTCCTACTTTTTTTTTGAAGAGTATATATATATGTATAGCGCTCATATTGAGAAAGTCACATTTTTAACTTCTTTCAGGTCATTTTGAAATGGACATGCAAAGTTCATTCAATAGTGTTTAAAGGTATCACACAGAGAAAGCTTTTTGAAAACTGTATTTTCTGAAGAAAGTAGGAGGTTACAGCTGCCAGAACCTCCACATCCCCTTCCCCCACCCCAATTGTATACGCCACTGAAAGAATTAAATTAAAACATTTTAAAAATATACCTCTGGAAGCACTGCTCCTAAAACAGTACTCAGAATACCTTCAACAGTTCCTTGTAAAGCCTTTTGTATTTGATCTTGTGATTTAGACAGAAATGAACTAATTGCTTCACGTAAAAGCTCATCATGATCCACTGCAATTCCCATCTAGAAAAAAACCCACCAAAAACATTTTCTTTAGCCTCTTATTTTGTCTTGTCAAGTTATCATAAGTCGGTAATAAAGGGCTGATTGCAAAAGATAGTATCACCAGTGGTTCTTAATCTTTTTTGTCAACAGTACACCTTGGAACACATGAAAAATAGTGGCACACCTGGCTAAATATACATGAAAAATATTTGAGTTTTGCAAAATAAAAACATGATAAGAATAAATATTATCTTTCAATGACTGGGATCATGAACAAGCAGTTGCCATGCAAGATACACCCACATTTTGCAAAAGATGGACAGGGAACAAGCAAATAACAAGATTTCTTGTACAATCAGGGGGCATAATCCAGGAAGTTGCAGTCTGATATGCGTCAATCTCGAACCGAAATCTTTTAGCTATAAACATATATTTTAAGTTTTATCAAAATGGATAAAAATTGTGACCTCTAAAGTGTTCACAAGCTAAAGACACGATTTTTCGTACAGTAAGGGGACATAATCCTTGAAGTTACGGTGGCTATTTTGAACCCTACCGTTATTATAGAGTAATGATATATTTGAACTGTTTTTAAAATCGTGACCTCTTAGAGGCTAAAAACATGTCAAAATCGGATAAAAATTGTGACTAGACTGTCAACAAACAAATTGTGGATGGACTTCTAGATGGACAGGGGCGATGACAATATACCTCCACATGAAAATATGGGCGTATAAAAATGATGTTCCGTACAATTAGGGGACATAATCCATGTTATGGTCAGATACATGCCAATATGAAAAAGAACCGAGATCTTTGGGATATAAATTTCAAGTTTTGTCAATATTTGGTAAAAAATTGTGACCTGTAGAGTGTCCACACGGACGTCTGGACGGACAGGGTTGACAACAATATAAGTCCACATGAAAATCTGGGCATATAAAACCTCAACAATACAAACAATATTTACAGAAACCTCGGCCTTTAGATTTACAAATACTGTGACGTTTTGGGTTGGCTGATTCTTGAGGTCTACTTTTATAACAAAAGGTTTGGTGCACAATCTACAAGAAACAAAATAGCGATCATATTAATGTAATTTGAATGCTAAGCAGCACAGTGATGTTCAAAAATAAAATTATTTTTCAATAGAGAATATATAAAAATTCAGTTAAATTTTTTGCATCATAATTGTAAAATATATAGAATCTACAATTAGTAGGGGGGGGGGGGGATGGCCGAATGGTTAGCATGTGCGTGCTGTATCACAAGACCTGTCATTGAGTCAACTGGCGTGGTTTCGAATCCCCAGTTGTACGTGACAAGGAGTAGGGTCGCCTGTCCAACATCGTGGGTTTTCTCCGGGTCCTCCGGTTTCCTCCCACTGCTAAAGACTTCTACACGCAAGCGTATTATAGAAATAAAATTGAACCATGTGTTAGTCCCAAAATGACCTACTTTGTGTCAAGTGGATGTTAAACCCCAGTTCTCTCTCTCTCTCTACAAATACTAAACCGAATCCATTGTATTATAACAACAAGCCAACAGTGAGGCTGATGTCTCCCGCCAAAAAACAAAATAAATAGATTACACATATTAATTAATTGCACATTTATCTTTTTCAAAAGTATCGAGCAATCAAACTATTCAAACTGATTATCAACTATACACTAAGTTTCATCACTCTACATCAGTTAGAATTAAAGTTATCTTGTCCCAAAGCATCTACCAATCAAAATGCTTAGCTCTGTTTAGCTTTAGCCAGAAATGTTAATCATTGAACTACATGTATGTAAAAATCTAAAAAATACTCTCTAAAAGACCCACAGCGAGTTGGTCCCCTCATCTAAATGAGATTTTGAGGTTTCAAACATACTCAAACCTATATTTTATTTATATTCATTGAAACCATGTACATTTACACGTAAGTAGGCCTACATTGTTGATTTCTTGTGAGTTATTAATATTTTACATGCTTATTGATTTGGCAATTGAGAAAACTAAAGTTGAAGTAAAGATTTCTGGCCCGACCACATGTATCTCGACCTATTGTTTTTCACCCATCGTCCCTGCCAAGAATAGATATAACCAAACGAGAAAAAAATCTATGTACATGTAATTAATCTATATACATGTAAGTCAAGACATTCACCCAATGAACAGCTACATCAAGTTCAAGCATTCTACCTGAATTAAAAGCAGAGTTATTACGTTTCAATCAAATTGCTTATCGTTACTTAGCCTAAGCAGAAAATTCTCATCATCAAACTTAGTCAAGGTAATGATATAATGAATCTATACTCGAACCCAATTAGAACCAAAGATGTTGAGCTCCAAAGTTTTGGCCAATCACATTGCTTATCACTCTGCTTACCCAGAGCAAAAAAAGCTTATTATCGAACTAAGTCAAGGTATTTATGTGATGAAACTATACACCAAATTTCATCACTCTCACTTAATTATAACCGAAGTTATCATGCCCAAAAGCATTAACCAATCAAATTACTTATCTCTGGTTACTCAAGCAGAAAATGCTCATCTTCGAACTCCATCAAGGCATTCACCTAATGAACGCCTACACCAAGTTTGAACATTTTAGCTCAATAAGGAGAGTTAATGTATCCCCAAAAGTGTGACGGACGGGCCCATTTAAATAGTCCCCTGCTTTCTTCGAAAGGTGGGGGACAAAAATATATTAGCCTACAGCTAGTAGGTCTATAGACATGTTTCTTGGACACTCACTCGATCTATTTCAGCCAGTTACGTATTGGAGATAGACATTTGATTGTCTTCAGAAGTACCATGGGATGGTCTTATGAAACTGTTGGCATGTGCCATGTGGTGTGTAATCTCAATTATTACTAACATAGATATAGTCTAGCAGACCAGTGCAATATGCAAGAGGTCTTAGGGCTACAGTAGTTCATAATTTACTAAATGGAATTAATGCTAATGCGAGTTAATAAATGTTATTAGTTTTTAATACATTATACATACCTGTCCCCTGTCTGAAGTACTGGCCATACGAAAGTTACTCCATCTTTTACTATTTTTGGCTCATGAAGACAACAACCTTAAAAGACAAAAAAATTAAACACGTATGGTGTATGCCGGTCTTCATTAGCCCAGTCAGAGCGGGACAGTAGGCTGTTAAACCCCATTTCATTTCTTTAAGTAGATTAGAAGGGTCAGCCATATTTTGATTTAAATAAAAATGGAGAGGCCAGGCTTAGCTTCGAACAACCAGTACAGAGGTTTCAATATTGTTGGTATATTGTTGATTGTGTAGGCTATAGAGTGTGTAGAATGTGCTCAAATACAATATACTTAGCTATTATGGTAGATTGCGAAACTGCGTGTATTAGAGGAAAGGTCCCTAATAAATAAATAACTGTGGTATGAACCCCTACAAAATTATACACAAGTTATGTCCCTTCCATCCATATGGCTACCGACCAAGCCTGAAACTAAGGTCTGATTTTTTAACAAAAAGGCTATAATTTTTTAACCAATTAATTGGATAATGGTTCACATAGTAATATTGTGTACTAATTAGTAATTAATTGGTTATAGCAATTACGAAGTGAATTAGCGCCGTGATTTTTCCCACCCTGTTATCCCCATTCTCCCCACAATTTATTTGTTTATACAAGGGCTTCGGAAAATCAACAAATCCAGATTTCTAAAGATTAACCACCAACTAACCTGAAACAACGAGTATTTCATTCTCATGGCATGCAACAATTACCGGCATTACTATTGATCGTTCAGATTTTGCAGCGTTTCATAGATTAACTATTACCGGGTACCTTACATTTTATTCATTTCGCAATACAACCACAACTCTGTTTACTTGACCCCAAAAGTCTACGCCAATCAAACAAGATATTTACTACTTTCGTTTTCAACACGCATTAGGCCTAGCCCATAGACATAGAGTTATAAAATCTATGGCCTAGCCCATATAGAGTTATAAAAAATCTATGGCCTAGCCACAGTTACGTGCGAGTTTGCTGCGTAGTTAGTTGTCGAAGAATCCGGAAAATTACAACTACTCGATCCGTGTTCAGTGATAATTTACACAAACAATGTGGATATATATAGAGAATCTCCAACCAGTCTTTTCTGATATCAAAAAATATCAACACAAGTTGATTAAGTAACAAAAAACGAGACTCTGCCGAGTTTTTTGTTTTTTTTGTTTTTTTTACTTTATCAACGAGTATTGATATTTTTTGATATCAAAAAAGACGAGTAGGAGATTTTATTTATCACTCAATCCCTTCTTACATGCACAAATAGATAAATATAATTCTTTGCTGTAGATTTCACTTCTACTGAACATTACGGCGTAGTGATACGTCATTTTTTGACAGCAATTCAACCATTGCAAAGTCCTTTATATTGACCCAGTGTTTCCATCAAGGTCAATTGATCAACAATAGTTCATTTTTAATAAAAAAAAAGAGTTACTTTTAATAAGAAATGAACTGTTCTTTGAAAATAAAAAAAAGTACTTCCTTTTCAACTGACCAATCAAATTCATGTAAAGCAGTAGATTATGAAATATATCACACAAGCGATATCTACTGTAGAATGTATGGGTGATAAACGACCTTATCTCTTTCAAGACCCACATTTGCGGGGTCCATAGATTTACCCAAAACAACCCAAAACTACCAAAAACAACCTGTATTTCGAATAGAACAACACATTTTTATTGTTTTTTTCTTTCTTAGATGATTAACAATTCCCTAAACTTTTACTCTTTTTTTTTATAAAAGTTCTGTAAATAAAAACGGAAATAAATGAAAGATTTATGCAAGAAATATAATTTTGTCATCGTAATTAATTTCGCCCATACTAAACACATCTTTTCTTGAGCATTTTTGTTAAATGCCATTTTTGCAAGTTGGTACCTTAAAATACTCGTCTCATAAATGTTTTATGTATTATTGTCAATATATTCCTGCTCAGGGGCGCAGATCGCCAAAAATTAGTGGTGGGGACAGTCCATGCGTGGGCGACTATTGGTAAAGAGGGGGTTGGGGGGGGGGGTCCTCCCCCGATTTTTTTGAAAACTAGACGCTCTAAAACGCACTCTGTGGGTATTTTCATGCACCATTTTCTGGCAGCAAACGAAACGAAATATAACCGAACGCCGCTGGCGTGAGCTGCTAGAGGTTCGTGGGGGGGGGGGGGGGCTTTTACAATTTTTTGAATTTTTGTTACAAAATGGTGTCTAAATATGCATTCTCAGCGATTCTGAGGAGTTTTTACCAATAACAAAATAGTTCAGAGAGAAATTTTTTAATCGAAAAAAAATTCCAATAAAGTGTTTAATATATTTAAATCTAAAGTACAGTACACTTATATCCACTCTGCCCGTTTCTTTTCCCGTTTTCTTCTTTCTGGACGGCCCATGACAGGTTTTAAAAAATGTCTTTTCCGATAAATTTCCTAAATTTCTAAACCATCTTCAAAACAGCAAAAAAATTTCACTTACTTGTAATAATAAGTACACGATTCTTGGCTCAGCTTACTGTACTCAAAAAAATACAGGCTTCGAGTCTTAAATTTTAGATTTAATTGCCTATATTCCAGAGAGAGAGATAGAAACCAGCCTTTAAAAATACGCTTATTTAGTATGACAGCAAATCTAGCAATGAAGGGTTCCCCTAATATACATACTAAATCCTTTAGTTAGGTGATACCAGATAAAAACAAAATCTCAGTTATTCCTTAACCCTTCAATACCCAGCGTATCAGATATGCACACCTACATGATATACATATATTATTATAATCCCTATGGAATATTTTAATTATTTACTGTTATAATATGAATTCTACATCATCATAGTTACGTCACTCCAAAACCATGTGAGAAGGCGCGGACATCCAGTTTCATTCCGAGCGTGAACTTCTTAGCCACGTGTTGTGGGTTTTTGCTCATATTTCGTGTGCTTTTTTTCTACATTATCACTTATTCCCTGTTAAATAAAAATCGGTCACCGGGTGCAGCTGTACAACTTCAAGGGCCCTGGCTTCAAGTGCCTGGGACCAACTCTACACTTTCTGAAATGTCAATAAAAGCTCTGGAATGATTTCAGTTTCAAAAAATAAACAGTAAGCAAAAACATCGGAAATAAGTGGTGGGGACACAGTATATCATGTCCCCACCACTAAAAATATTGGTGGGGACGCGTCCCGGTGACCCCAGAGGGATCTGCGCCCATGTTCCTGCTGATTAATATACATTTTTTTTTTTATCAAGATTGTTATTATGGTGGTGAAAAATAACTTCTCGGTGGTCGTCGGCGAAAAATAATAGGCCTACCGCCCGTATACACCGAAATTCGACCCTATGCCCCATGTGACCTTGGATAGCCAAGTTTTGTTGTTAAAGGATTTGTTAGTTATAAAAGATTTTTAGCTTAAATCTGTATCAACATTAACAGATATTTCTCAAATAACTGCAATTTCATGGGGATCCGCTGTGCTAGATTAGTATAGAAAAATATAAAGACCTTCATAATTTAAAAAAATAAATAAAACAGCTATACCAGCAATAATTACCATCATGAATTTATCTGAAAAGAAAATAATAAGATCATTTGCATTTTAAAAAGAAAATAGATATTCTAGAAGTTGACAAAACATCTTGAAATTAGCACTTCGTCTGATACCTTTAAAAGAAATTAGAATAGGCAGACGTTGAAATGTAGCGCGGATTATATAAGTTATCTGCATGCTTTTAACATGGCCACTATATCAGCCACCATATAATTTTTAAACACAGATATCCGTTACGGTAAAGGAGGTTGGAATGATGTCAATTTTACCGTGTAATATGATTGCGAAACTAAACAGCTAGCTAGGCTACAATCTGCCAGGCTTGAAATAACAAATTCAAGCCTAACTTCATTAATATTTTTAAAAATACATCAGTAAATTAAAAGTAGGCCTGTTATATAATGGAAATAGAGTAAAATATATACTATTCAAAAAAAGTAGGGGATATTTGATTTTTAAGTGTTATTAAAGTCACCTAATGAAACTGACGAAGAAACAAATGACAAAATGAAATGAAGTTCACATTCATCGATTTATTCCAAATGATCGTTAGACTAAGTAAGGCACAGACTGACCATTATAAGGGTAAAATGATACCCTGGGTCAAACAGCAAAGTTACCACAGCATCACAACCAAGTCAGTAACGGGTAAATCCTCCTCTGTTTGCCAAACAAGCATTGGTCCGACGTGGCATACTCCTAATGAGACGTCTAAGGTCATTTTGGTCCAGATTGTCCTATTCCTGTTGCAACGCAGCAGCAAGTTCTTGGACATTGGCAGGACGTTGTTGACGTTGACGTAACCTCTGTCCAAGCATGTCCCAGACATGCTCGATGGGGGAGAGGTTGGGACTCAGTGCTGGCCAAGGTAATGTGGTGATGTTCTGTTGTTGGAGGTAACCTGTAACGATCCTGGCCCTGTGACATCTTGCGTTGTCATCCTGGAAGATGAAACGGCGGCCATGACGTCGTGCGAACGGCACAACATGGACTAACAAGATGTTTTCCGGTAGTACTGGCCTGTAACACGCCCTGCAACAACATGTAAAGCCGTTCTTCCAGCAACAGTGATGCCTCCCCACACCATAACAGAACCACCCCAAATCGATCATGTCTGATGACGTTAACGTCTTGGAACCGCTCGTTTCGACAACGCCACACCCTCCTACGTCTGTCCAAAAAATCAACAGTGAACCTTGACTCATCTGAAAACATCACATTGCTCCAGCGTCGATTATCCCAGTGTTGACGATCCCTACACCAACGACGTCTTGCCTGAATGTGATGATCTCTCAAACAAGGGATCACGCGAGGACGTCGGGCGCGAAGGTGACCCCTATGCAGTCGATTCCGAATCGTCTGGCCACTCACTCTCACACCAGTGTCTGTTTGAAGACGAGCGCTGATCTGATTTGCTGTGATGACACGATTTCTCAAGGCCAAGGTACGGATAAATCGATCCTGGGCTTGAGTTGTCGCCCTTGGTCGACCTGAGCGTGGTCTGTCCTGTACAGATTGTGTATCACGGTATCTGGACCATAGCCTGCTTATGACAGACTGAGAAACATTCATCGTCCGCGCCACAACCGCCTGTGTTGTGCCGATCTGTAGCATGCCAAGGGCACGTAACCTTTCATTTAATTTTGGGTAAGCCGACGCATATCAAAATTTGTTTTCTGGTCACTAAAACAATTAAACTGATGTTTCCACCCTGGAATTCAATGCCACAATGACTGTAACATTCAAAGTCAGAGTCGTGCAAATCTTGGGTTGGACCCCCATGATGATCCCAAGCATCACCTGCATTCCATGCGGTAGCTATTGGTGCGTTTGGGCGTCACATGTAACTGGAAATGTTTCTTCTGTTAGGTTCTATAGTGACTTTTTTCGTAGTCATTTGCATATTTTAGTATTATGCCCCCAAAATCAAATATCCCCTACTTTTTTTGAATAGTATAAATTCAAACAATACTTAAGAAATAAGTCATACCATGGACCTTATAATACTGTATTTATAAGGTCCATCTGCACGCAGCGATCCATCTACGTCCATCTCAGGCGGAGCTAGCTGTAGACAGGCAGTCTAAGTTTGGGATGAGTTAAATGTATGAAAGAAGCACAAGCATAAACTTAGAAAAGACTGCGTATTATTATGTAGTTCATCAGCTGTTACAGTCAAGTTATTACAATTATGTCGTGAATTCCGCTCCATAATCCTGGTGCTACCTTGGCCTTGACCTTGTGAGCAAAACATACCCAGCACAGAATTTGTCACAATAAATGTAAAAAGAAAAAGAAAGTATAGAAGTTGTTGGTGTTCTGACGATGGTTGTCTAACACATTAGTACGGTAGTCAAATGGTGTTCTTTGATTTAACTGAAGCTGAGGTACAATTATATAAAAGATGTCAGGATTTGTCGTTTGTCGTGCGAATGAGATACTGGTCGTGTCAGGTGAGTTGATCTGAGGGTGATAAGTTAGGGAGAATGGGGTTCGGTGGATAAGTAGTAGGCTAGTTACTTTAGTAACGAAAATAGGAGAGCCCTACCTAAGAAAGCAGGTAAGGCTCTCATATTTTCGTTACTAAAGTAACTAGTAGTAGGCCGGTAGACTACGAAATTCGATGAATGTGTATTGTGTCACTTGTCTAATACACGGAGACATAGACCGGGAGCCCAGGGGTTCAACCTAGTCACTATACTTGTAACGTTAAACACACAGTTTAACGTTACAATTGATACAGTCTAAGAATCCTTACGCAAGTTCAAATAGGTTCAAACGCACAATTGTCAACACATATCATTACAGTTTGTATTGGAATAAGTAATTCTATGACAAATATTGAAGACTGGACCACTAAAATAGTTACCGAACAGATTTTCTTTATGGTTATGCGTCCTACATTTGCATAGTGATGTTTCTTGTAATGACGTATTACACAAGCCGCCATGACACCAGCCGGTTGAAATTTCGCGTAGCGGTTGGGTTTCATCAAATCATATAATTATGCTGTAAGGCTTCACCTTTATTTCAATAGGAATTGATTTATTATAAGTTAAGCTAGGTGCAGTACTGTTTTGGGTCAGTTTATGTGAGCTATAGGCCAGTAACCTTTTTGTAGTGATTTCACTAAAAAAAACTTGCGCAAAGGAACTCCTGTAGGACGAGCCACTACTGTGGCTGGAGTAAGGCGGAAGACATCAGTAGTGGAACCATTTCTAGGGGTCAACCTAGCTGAAAAGTGTACCAATTTTCTCCTATATATATAGTAAGTGCAGGATGACTGCACCACACAAAATTTACACAAAGACAAATACACAGACAAGACATACTCAGGAAAACACAAACATACAGACAATTCAAAAAAAGTGAATGGATCCGGGGGCTATCATCAGAATGTAAGTCTGCCGGGTTTCTGGTGGTGGGTGTGGTATTCCACGCCCCAAATGCCATGATCCCCAACTAGGCTAGATTAGCTCAAAAGTGTACCACACAAAAATCTTACTGCAGTGTAGCCTACCGTACATCTTCAGGTATTACAAAAACATTCTGACAGACATTTCTAGTGGCAGGGTACCCCTGCAAAGCTATGTAATTGCCAGAAATTTGTAGTGGTGGAGGATCCCTGACAAGAGTTATCTAATATTTAGACAAAAGCTAGGCTAGATTAGCTGAAATCTGTACCACCTAAAACAGCTTTGGAGTTGTTATATACCACCACAGGAGTCATGAATGACCACTGCCAGACAGTTTATGCGGTGGGTTACCCCTAACAGACACGCCCAAAATTGCCACGCCCCAACTAGGCTAGCTTCGCAGGCACTGTTCCCGTGTTCTAAACAATTAGATTTTTAGCCAGGATGCGTAGGATACTAATACCTAGCACGTATGGAAGAGGCGATAAACTGCGATTGCAAGAAATTGATTTTGGGGCAAAAAACATTGTTCCTACAACCGCAGTTTATCGCCTCTTCCATATGTGCTAAGTATTAGTATTCTATGCATCCTGGCACAATTTTTAATTTTTTGGACCACAGGAACAGTGCCGACTAATCTATCCTAGTTGGGGACCGTTGTGTTATTTTGGGCGTGTCTGTTAGGGACAATCCACCGCACAACTGTCTGGCAGTGGTCATTCATGATTCCTTTGGTGGTACTGAACAACTCCAAAGCTGTTTTAGGTGGTACAGATTTGAGCTAATCTAGCCTAGCTCCATCACTACAAATGTCTGGCAATTACATAGCTCTGTCAGGGGTACCCCACCACTAGAAATGTCTGTCAGAGTGTTTTTGTAATACCTGAAGATGTACGGTACATTGCTGTGCGATTTTCATGTGGTACACTTTTGAGCTAATCTTATAAATGATATGATTTTGTGAGTAATAGTGGTAGCCTACTACTATCTGAACATCGTAAATTTTAAACAGATTTCTTCGATTATGAACAAACTATTTAACTTTGGTTATTATAAACTTACCCGTGTGTTTGAAATCAAATCCTGTTTAATAAAATCCATTGCAAAATTAAATATTCCAACAAATAAAAAAGTTCTCTCTTGGCAAATTTGACTATTTACTTGTATTTTTGACTGAGTGGATGGGGGGTCGGATGGCTGAATGGTTAGCGTGCGCGCTGTATCATAAAGTCTGTCATTGAGTCAGCTGGAGTGGTTTCGATACCCCGGTTGTACGTGACAAAGAGTAGGGTCGTCTGTCCAACCTCGTGGGTTTTCTCCGGGTCCTCCGGTTTCCTCCTACTGCTAAAGACCCCTACGCGCAAGCAAATTATATAAATAAAATTAAACCATATTATGTTAGTCCCGATATGACCTAGTTTGTGTCGAGTGGACGTTAAAGCCCATTTCTCTCTTTCTTTCGTCACATGGTGGGCGAAACCAATGCAGCTGTTGCAGGAGGGGGGGGGGATTTTTGACAGATAGTTTGACAACCACGTGTTGCAATGAAAACAAAGCGCGATCATTACGATCGCTTGAGTTTGGGCGATTTATATTGAAACCGTTGATCGCCTGTCTATCAAATTTTATTCACAATGAAAATATCATTGATTGCATGGATACTCTTAAAAATAAAGTCATATATAAAACTAAAATGAAAGTAATTGTTTTTGTGCCGCATGTGTGTTCAAAAGACAATTATCCCACCCGAGTCGCTAATCAAATATTTAAAACAAAATATTTCAAAAGGTAAAGTTATAAAATTTGCAGAGATTTTACTAGAATGTAAAAGACGGTAACAAAATAAAAGAATATGGACAGTTGTGTGTGAACGCTCAAACTCAGTGCTGAGCCGAGACTCATAGCTTATTCTTAAACTAAACTTGAATTGTCGTAAAAGTACCGAAAACCGTTTCAATTTACTATGCTGTCAACCCTTATACGAAGAGTGACGTAATCAGCTTCCATAGTGCTATTTTTCTGTGTCAAAAGTTTTTGGGATTTCAATTTTTCAATAGAGAACTTTTTTATTCGTTGGGATAATTAGTTGTGCAATGGTTTTTATTTAACAGGAGTTGAATTCAAACACACAGGTAAGTTTATAATAACCAAAGTTAAGTAGTTTGTTAATAATTGAAGAAATCCATTTTAAATTTACGATGGTTCAGACAGTAGTAGCCCACTAATAGCATTCGAACCTAATATTATTGCATTTTTCTGATAGGCCTATATGATAAGATGTCAATCCTAAAAATGTAGCCTATGGTTGTATTCTATATTTTAATTATTTAACATTTGATTAAAAATCAAAATACTAATGGGTGGATAATATTTTGGCTTAGATTTATTCAGATTAAAAAGAGGCTCTTCAAAAGATGAGTCCTACAATAATTTTAGCTGAAGGTACAGAACTGTTTATTGGTTTTATTCATTGTAGATGAAACGGTCATAAAGCAAAACGGTCCAAAAATTTAGTCAGAACAGCAATAACTTTTGATCAGAACAGCAGTATAAAAAAAACAAAAAAATAACCAGTTTTAATAAGAACCCATTTTTGGACTGATTCTTTTTAGAAATAACTTTAACAATACATGTAATGTATTATCCTTCACTGGCAGTTTTGCCTTGGACTGTAAAGCTACATTGGGATTATTCTTAATTTCTAATTGAGACTATATTCTACCAATTCATCATGGAGATGTTTTACAATTCATCAAAATACATTTATATAATTTAGTCAGAAATATCTCCTCAAGTCGACCATTAAAAAGCTATCTGAGGTCAGTAACTTGAGGCCCTGTTTTTATGTAGAATCTCAATGACCTTGCACATAATAGTCTGTATACCGTATATAATAATACAGATTTTTAAACAAATCAGCTGATGCTTATCAAAATTGATTGCGCTAATAATACGGTCATAAGGTCTATCTAGAAGACCAATAATTTGATGAGTTTCCGATTATTTTGATATGCCAGCAATAGCGCTAAATATGGTCATTAGGTCTATCTAGATGACCAATTGATGAGTTTCCGATTATTTTGATATGCCAGCAATATACAATTTTCTTGTTAAAAGTTCTTTTATGCCTATAATTTCATGAATGTTTTTATTACAGGCTGTTTTAAATCTGAGCCAAGCATTGTGACAGATGGATCAACTTTTGTTTTACCAGGACTTCAAAAAGTACAGAGGTATTATCTTTAGTGTTCAAACAATATTCGAATGATGGAATTAAAATTGAATAGTTTTTATGTAATTTGAATAGTTTTTCAAGGCTATTTCAACTTATATTTTGGTTTCTGTCATTCTGTGTGAATTAAAACTATTGAAATTTTATAAGTTTTTTTTATCTCACAAAAATTGACTGTAATATTTAAGTCTCTGATCATCATTTCACAGATTTTTGATCCCCTGCAAACTACAATAACATGTTTAAAGTTTTGTTAAAAAAAATTATAAAAAATTTACATAACTTTTTGATATGTTATTCTTTTTAGAATGTATTATATAAATAGTACATTATTTATTATTTCTAGATTGTCCACCAGTAATTTCACCATTGTAGTAGAACTCAAGAATCAGCCAACAGCCGAACAAACAATATCAATAAACCTGAAAGCAGGAGCAGTGGTAAGCATGATTGATCATCACATAATATAAAATAGTTATTAAGGGATATGGTACGTCAGATGCTTACAAAAATGGATAATGTTGACAGCTACTCTGATCAACTTTCCGAAAAATTCAATTGCTACTCTTAATTAAAGAATGTATTAGTGACGCAATCAATTCTACCAGATCTTTCAATATGGTATCTCCAAATGTATAAAATGGTGATATTTTAAATAAATTGGCCGAGTTTGTTTATTTTGTTTGTCAGAAGTAACTGTTAGTCATGTTTTTATCCTTTCCAAAGACAAGGCGTTTATTATTGGCTAGACAAGTGATCAAATTAGGTCTATTTATAACACAAACTTTTAGACTGTAACTAATAATTTTATTGTTGCTGCCAACGGTTTAATTAATTAATCTTACAGATGAAAATAAATTCAAAGAATGATGAGATGGTGCAATACGCAGTAGCAAAATTTTTGTCAAAAACTGAAGATGAAATGAAAGAAACACTAAAAGAAACTATTGAGGCAACTTTTGGTAGTGTTATTGGACTGATGAGTGCAGAGGTAAAGTGGATAATAAACTAATAATGAAGAAAAGCTTGCATTTTTGCTATACCCCACATTGGAATGTCGCTGTATACTGTCATCACCCCAATAATTAATGTCACAGTTCTTGCCCTTGATCACTTTAAAAATCATGTGGACCCTCTGATGGCCAAACTTATTTATATTATCTGATTGCATTTTTGCTAGACCCCTACATTGAAATGTGGCTATATATGGTCATCACCTAAATAATTCTTGCCCTTGATCACTTTTAAAAATCATGTGGACCCTCTGGTGGACAAACTTATTATCTGATTGATTTGAAATTTATAAACAGTGCTTATGTTTATGAGACAAAACAGTCTAATGATTTTAAACGATTTGAACTAGACGCCAATCCAATTTTAATTATTTCTGATAATTATTCCATGTGTTATTGTTATTACTCTTGATCAGTTTTTAGTGTCTTTTTAGATGTTTTCTTAATCTACAAAAGTATAGATGCAACAACTTTTGTGGGCCACTTTGACGACTTAGCTGCTGTGAGTGTATGTTTCATCACCTGGCAAAGTGTCTTCTCAGGTGACCCCCTCAAAAAATTATGAAAAAAAATATGTTATTTTCCATGCAAACTTATGTTAAACTGCATAGTTATATGACTCTAGCATTAATATTAACCTGTTATCTCCCTTGAATGAATGAAGTGGAGAGTATACGTAATTAGGGGAGTACTAAAAAACTATTAAAATGCAGGTTATAGAAGCTATGAACAGTCATGCGGTTGCTCCTAAAGGATGTGATTTTATGATAATCAAAGTATTAGAATTGATTATGTAAATTATATAAACATAAAAATCTTGAATTTCCATGTTTTTGATATTGGATCATAAATTAATGGTACACCCCCGGTTTGGTATTGATGCATAATTGTTAAGTACACCCAAAATGTTCTTAGAAGATTTTGTTTCATCTTCATTTGTGTGAGAACTTTAACTTACTTACAATACCAATTTATTATTTTACTGTTTATTTTCTAGGATATAATGTTTGATAAAAGAAAATTTTCCAAAAGAGCATATGAAGCTCTTTCTGCTGAGTGTGTTCTGATGGGTGTATCAGTTATAAGTATTAATGTTCTTGAAGTTTCTGATGACCATGTAAGTATTTTATTTCTTCTCTCTCAAAGTCAACTTTAATGTGGCATTCTCAGAGGTTATTGACTAGAATCGGTTAATATTGTGTGAACGACTCTTTAAAATCCTTGTCCAAGTTGCTGGGTCATTCCATGTCACTTGGACTAGTGCTTGTTAGGTGACCCCCTCAGAATATTATGAAAAAATATGTTAAATTACATACAAACTTACCGGTATGTAAAACTGCAAATTTGTATGACTAGCATTAATTTTGACTGAGATACATGGCTTTTTGAATCGGGGTACCATTTCGCATGTTTTGAAACTGCTATTCTTTGACTTGATTTTGGTGTACTGATTTTATATCTTCTGGAAATTTTGGGGTTTGTAAGAAAATATTACATTATTTTACAGAACAATATTTTCATATAGTGTAGAAATTTTACTGAAGAAACTATACTTTCAACAATTGCACAGATTTCGCCTCACTACCTGTCAACTATTTCCTTTTATTTTACCGGTATTGTTATTGAAAAATTTATAAATGCTTATGAGCATTGACACATAAAGGATCTGATATTTGTGTGGAATTCATGTATAGTGTATCTAATCAAATTAGCTTCAAGCATATGCCAATCTATGTGTTTCTTTTATGTGCTCTTTAAACAAAAGATAGGTTGCCAAGCAACAAAACATGCGCCCACAGCAGCTAAGGGGTGTTCGTGTTTTTTCTTTCGTCGATAATGAAAACATTTACAACAAACTAAAATCTGATTAAGCATAACAACCCATTAAGTAATTATCTGAAATCATAATTTGTTTGGCTTCCCAGTTCTGCCAAATGCTAACATTTACTAACAAAACATTAACTATCATGAATTTAGCTGTTCAAATTATAGGAAGTCATTGAAAAGCAATAGATTTTGTCGTCACATGACCTTAAAGGCTCAATACCACTCTTGTTGTAACTGAATAATATATCCCAATCTTTATTCTGGTCAACAAATTGTATTATTTTAGAATATTTCAATTAATTGATGATAAAAATTTCATCTTAACACACCTTATTTAAAAATTTTGAAAAATTCAACATAATGGTTTGAAACGTCTAACGTAAACCTTTTCAAATGAAACTTCGATTTAAAAATATTTTCGAACCCTCTGGACAAGTAAAATAGGATGTAATGGATAATTTACACAACAGGTAGGACACTTAAACATCTAGTACTTAGATAGAGATATTATTTATTTTCTGGAGCTTTCAAGCCAGCAAGAATGTTATTGTCCCTTTAAACACCGTGCATCAATTTAATGTCAAGTTGTGGTCTCGAGAGCATCTAGCAATAATTATCAGGAATTGTTAAAAAAAAAAATCAATAACATTCGTCGTTTCAAGACCATATACACTATTTATAAATTTAAAGTCAATCAGATGATAACTTTGCTCTGTAGAGCGTGAACAAGAATATTCAAAGAGGTCAAGGACTATAACTCTGGCAGTAATTATCAGATATCGGCCTCTTCGACTCATGACGTTAAACACTGTGTATAAATTTAAAGTCAATTGGATGAACTTTGTTCTTTATAGCATCACTAGATTTCTCAAAGAGGACAAGGGCCATAACTCAGGCGGTAATTATTGGAAAATCTTATGATCATAAACACTGTGTATCAATTTATAGTCAATCAGGTCTAGAGCTTCTACAAGATTTTTATACGCCCAATACTTACCAGATTTTGACGAAACTTGAAATATAGGTTTATGTCCAAAAGATCTTGGTTCCTTTAGATATTGGCATGTATCGGATTGAAACTATGGATTATGGCCCCTGATTGTACGAAAAATGAGGTCACAATTTTCATCTGATTTTGATGAAACTTAAAAGGCATGTTTATAACCCAAAGAACTTGGTTCCTCTCAATATTCACGCGGATGGCCGAATGGTTAGCACATGCTAATAGTAAAATGGTTAATTTTGGCGCAAAAACTTGACATGAGCGTGAATAACAAACAAGACCTGATAATAAGTGGAGGTCGATTGCTATGTCTTTCGATGATTGATTTTAGCTATCGATGAATTTCAGAATACTATTTTTTTATAAAGAATGTAAACAATGTTTAGACGTTACGAACTACAAGTATTTCTTTTTCTACCGTACAAGAGGGGTTGGATGGCCGAATGGTTTGCACATGCACACTGTATCATAAGGTCTGTTATTGAGTCAACTGGCGTGGTTTCGAATCCCCGGTTGTACGTGACAAGGTGTAGGGTCACCTGTCCCACTGCTAAAGACCCCTACGCACAAGTGAATTATTGAAATAAAATTGAACCACGTGTTAGTCCCAAAATGACCTAGTTTCGAGTGGATGTTAAACAACATTTCTCTCTCTCTCTCTCTGCTACACCCAAATGACAGTTGAGTTTATATTTCGTGAAAATCGGACCGAAACTGCTTGACAAGATGGCCCTCCTTGTACGCAAATAGTGTAAAAGTATGTAATACCAAGGTTGTCGACTCTCTATAAGTCACAATTTTTATCCAATTTTGATGAAACTTAAAATATATCTTTATATCCCAAATATCTCAATATATTTGAATGTTCACGCATTTCAGACCATTACTTCCTGGAATATGGCCCCGGATTGTACAAAAAATCACTTTTTTATACGCCCACATTTTCATGTGGACGTATTATGCCGTCGTCCGTCCACAATTTGTTTGTGGACTCTCTACAGGTCACAATTCTTATCCGATTTTGACAAAACTTGAAATATAGGTTTATCTCCAAAAGATCTCGGCTGCTTTCGATATTGGCTTTCGATATTCATGTATTATGGCCCCTGTTTGTACGAAAAATCACGTTTTTATCTTGTGGACCCTATAGAGGTCACAATTTTTATCCGATTTTGTTGAAACTTGAAATGTAAGTTTATAACCCATAGATCTTGGTTCCTTTCGATATTCGCGCATATCGGACCGTAACTTCCTGAATTATGGCCCTGATTGTACGAAAAATCGCGTTTTTAGCTTGTGGACCCTATAGAGGTCATAATTTTTATCCGATTTAAAAAACCGTATTATTATATCACCGTTACACCCTAAGGATGGCTGAGTTCGAATTTCGTGAAAATCGGCCCAAAATTGACAGACAAAATGGCCGCCGTTCGTTCTCAAATAGCATAAGAATATGGTATATCAAAGTTGTGGACCCTATAGAGGTCACAATTTTTATCCGATTTTGTTGAAACTTGAAATGTAAGTTTATAACCCAAAGATCTTAATTTCTTTCGATATTCGCACATATCGGACCGTAACTTCCTGAATTATGGCCCCTGATTGTACAAAAAATCACCTTTTTAGCTTGTGGACCCTATAGAGGTCATATTTTTTTCCGATTTAAAAAAAACATATTATTATGTCACCGTTACACCCTAAGGACGGCTGAGTTGGAATTTTGTGAAAATAGGCCCTAAATTGACAGACAAAATGGACGCCGTTCGTTCTCAAATAGCGTAAGAATATGGTATATCAAGGTTGTGGACCCTATAGAGGTCACAATTTTTATCCAATTTTGTTGAAACTTGAAATGTAAGTTTATAACCCAAAGATCTCGGTTCCTTTCGATATTCGCGCATATCGGACTGTAACTTCCTGAATTATGGCCCCTGATTGTACTAAAAATCGCGTTTTTAGCTTGTGGACCCTATAGAGGTCATAATTTTTATCCGATTTAAAAAAAACGTATTATTATGTCACCGTTACACCCTAAGGACGACTGAGTTCGAATTTCGTGAAAATCGGCCCAAAATTGACAGACAAAATGGCCGCCGTTCGTTCTCAAATAGCGAAGAATATGGTATATCAAAGTTGTGGACCCTATAGAGGTCACAATTTTTATCTGATTTTGTTGAAACTTGAAATGTAAGTTTATAACCCAAAGATCTTAATTCCTTTCGATATTCGCACATATCGGACCGTAACTTCCTGAATTATGGCCCCTGATTGTACGAAAAATCACCTTTTTAGCTTGTGGACCCTATAGAGGTCATAATTTTTATCCGTCATAATTTAATTGACAGACAAAATGGACGCCGTTCGTTCTCAAATAGCGTAAGAATATGGTATATCAAGGTTGTGGACCCTATAGAGGTCACAATTTTTATCCGATTTTGTTGAAACTTGAAATGTAAGTTTATAACCCAAAGATTTTGGTTCCTTTCGATATTCGCACATATCGGACCGTAACTTCCTGAATTATGGCTCCTGATTGTACGAAAAATCACGTTTTTAGCTTGTGGACCCTATAGAGGTCAAAATTTTTATCCGATTTAAAAAAACGTATTATTATATTACCTGAACACCCTAATGATGGCTGAATTCGAATTTCGTGAAATCGGCCCTAAATTGACAGACAAAATGGCCGCCGTTCGTTCTCAAATAGTGTAAGAATATGGTATATCAAGGTTGTGGACCCTATAGAGGTCACAATTTTTATCCGATTTTGTTGAAACTTGAAATGTAAGTTTATAACCCAAAGATCTTGGTTCCTTTCGATATTCGCACATATCGGACCGTAACTTCCTGAATTATGGCCCCTGATTGTACGAAAAATCGAGTTTTTAGCTTGTGGACCCTATAGAGGTCATAATTTTTATCTGATTTAAAAAAACGTATTATTATATCACCGTTGCACCCTAAGGGCGACTGAGTTCGAATTTCTTGAAAATTGACAGACAAAATGGCCGCTGTTCGTTCTCAAATAGCGTAAGAATATGGTATATCAAGGTTGTGGACCCTATAGAGGTCACAATTTTTATCCGATTTTGTTGAAACTTGAAATGTAAGTTTATAACCCAAAGATCTCGGATCCTTTCGATATTCGCGCATATCGGACCGTAACTTCCTGAATTATGGCCCCTGATTGTACGAAAAATCGAGTTTTTAGCTTGTGGACCCTATAGAGGTCATAATTTTTATCCGATTTAAAAAACTGTATTATTATATCACCATTACACCCTAAGGACGACTGAGTTCGAATTTCGTGAAAATCGGCCCAAAATTGACAGACAAAATGGCTGCCGTTCGTCCTCAAATAGCGTAAAAATATGGTATATCAAGGTTGTGGACCCTATAGAGGTCACAATTTTTATCCGATTTTGTTGAAACTTGAAATGTAAGTTTATAACACAAAGATCTCAGTTCCTGTCGATGTTTGCGCATATCGAATTGTAATTTCCTGAATTATGGCCCTTGATTGTAGGAAAAATCACTTTCTTGTTAGCTTGTTCTCTATCCATCTCTCGAAAATGTGGGGGTATCCTGCCTGGCAGCCACTGGTTATTTAGCTTGTTCTCTATCTATCTCTTGCAAAATGTGGGCGTATCTTGCCTGGCAACAGCTGGTTCAAAGTGATCAAGTGCCTTAACTCTGGCAGTAATAACCGGAAATGGTTGAAAACAAATAGGCTTCTCATGACCTTAAATACTGTGTGTAAATTTAAAATCAATTGGATATTAACTTTAGCCTCTAGAATGTCCACAAGATATTTCAAAGTGATCAAGGACCATAACTCTGGCAGTAATTATCTGAAATCATTGAAAATCAATATGCTTCTTCGTCTTATGAGCTTAAACATTGAGTATAAATTTAAAGTCAATTGAATATTAATTCTTGCCTCTAGAGCAACCACAAGATTTTTCAAAGTGATCAAGGGACATAACTCTGGTCGTAATTATCAGACTAACGAACGGACTTTGGAGGCGACAATTTAAGAAAACATTTCAGTTAGGGTGTATAATAAAAATTAATTAGGGATATAAATAAAAACTTGATCTGCCAGGCAGATATGAGAGCTTTCATATTCATGGTCACTTCCTGTCACATGTCATGGGTTATATAAAGAATCTAAAAAAAGAAAAAGAATTATTAAAATCGGCACAAAATTCACTGAGCTATAACGAGAAACATTTAAACCGGGCTAAATTTAGTGTTATTTGTTATGAATTAAATCAGTCAAAAACTGCCTAAGTTATAACGAACAGGTATCACTTCCCATCATATGTTATTGATTTTGTCAACAATCTTAAAGAGAACAGAATTATTAACTATGTTATCAGGGTAAACATTTCAACCGGGCAATATTTTCTGTTTTAAAAGTTTAAGTTGCACAGTACCTTTGGTTACCAACCGATTTTGACAAAACTTTAAAAATAAGCTCCCACTGGCTGAATTAAACGTTTGCGATCAAAATTCGACCAGATTTGATAGCTCTGCGCTTTTAAAAAAAACAACTAAATTTAATGACATCACTTAAAAAAACAAATTGGCCAACAACTGGCTGGGTCATAACGAGATATTTCAACCAGGCATCACTTCACGTCAGATGTTCGCGATGTTGTCAAGAAGCTTAAAAAGAAAAAGGAATTATTAAAATCGGCCAAAATGTCGCCGAGTTATAATGAGAAACATCTCAACCAGGCAAAATTTTCCATTTTAACATTTTATAAGTTGCATAGAACCTTTGGTTACCAACCGATTTTGATAAAACTTTCAAAATAAGCACCTAATGTCTAACTAAATCGTTCACGATCATTTGATCTGATTTCAAATTTCTGCAGTTTTTAAAAAAATTAAATTGAATAACATGACTTTAATAAAAAAAATAATAACCAAAATCTTACTGAGTTAAAACAGGAAATGTTTCAACCAGCCATCACATCACGTCAGGTGTTACTGATTTCATCAAAAATCTTAAAGAGGAAAGTATTATTAACTAAATTTTAACGGTAAACATTTCAACTGGGCAAAATATCCTGTTTTAACATTTTAAAAGTGCACAGAACCTCTGGTTAACAACAGATTTCGACAAAACTTTACAAATAAGCTCCCACTGACCATCTTAATCGTTTGCGATCAACATTTGGCCTGATTTAAAAGTTCTGCATTTTAAAAAAAAAAAAAAATATCAATGATGTCACTTTAAATAAACAAATTGGCCAACAACTGACTGAGTTATAACAAGAAATATTTCAACCAGGCATCACTTCACTTCAGATGTTACTGATGTTGTCAAGAATTATTAAACTCGGCTAAAAAGTCGCTGAGTCATAAAGAGAAACATTTCAACCGGGTTCAATTTTGACAACTTAAAATATACGTCTGTCTCCCAAAGATCTTGGTTCCTTTCGATATTGGCATATATCGGACCATTACTTCATGGATTACGTCCCCTGATTCATTGATTGTACAAAAAATCACGTTTTTAGCTTGTGGACACTCTAGAGGTTACAATTTTCATCTGATTTTGATGAAACTTGAAATGCTTGTTTATAACCTAAAGATCTTGGTTCCTTTCGATATTTGCGCATATTGTACGAGAAATCACGTTTTTAGCTTGTCCTTCTAGAGGTCACAATTATTATTCAATTTAAAAACCTGTTTGAATATATCACCGTTACACTGTAAAGACGCTTGAGTTCGAATTTCGTGAAAATTGGACCAAAACTGCCAGAGAAAATGGCCTCCCCTCATACGCAAATAGTGTAAAAATATAGTATATCAAGGTTGTGGACCCTCTAGAGGTCATAATTTTTATGAAACTTGATATACATGTTTGTATATTCCTTTCAAAATTCGTGCATTCAGATCATAACTTCCTGAATTATGGCTCTTGATTGTACGAAAAATCACAATTATGATCCGAAAATCAGACCAAAACTGCCAGACGAAATGGCCGCCTCTTGTACGCAAATAGGGTAAATATATGGTATATCAAGTTTGTGGACCCTCTAGAAGTCACAGTTTTGATCCGATTTTGATGAAACTTGAAATATATCTCTATATCCCAAAGATCTTGGTTCCTGTCGATATTCGCGCATATCGTATCTTCCTGAATTATGGCCTTTGATTGCATGAAATATCACTGCCTATCCAATTTTTATGAAACTTAAAACATATCTTTATATTCCAAAAATCTCAGTCCCTTTTGATATTTGCGCATTTAAGACCATAACTTTCTGGATTATGGCCCCTGATTGTACAAAAAATCCTTTTTGTTTTTAGCTTGTTCTCTATCCATCGCATGCAAAATATGGGCGTATCCTGCCTGGCAGCCGCTGGTTCATATTCAATTCAAAATGGTGACCATCAGTTGACCTAAATCAAAATTCTGCTCTGAACGTATTTTAGGCATTCCTTCAAGGATTCAGAAAATGTAACTCCCATGTCACAAAAGCCTTAGGGATTTTCATGTTTTAAGATAGTGGCACTTTCAATTCGATCGATAGACATCAAATTTTGTGCACACATCAGCAATGTCTTGGCTGGTACAGAACAAAATTCAAGACAATCTAATCCATTTTTTGTCGATTCTTTTGAAAAATTTGATCCTTAATTTCTTCAAGGGGAGATAAGTTATGAAATTTCTAATGGCATCTTTCAAGTCGCATAAGATCTACTTACAAATTTCATGAAAATCGTGCAGATATTAAAGAAATTGTCAAGTTGGTCTCAACCTCCGGAACGAAATCACAGCGATTTTTTTTTCGAAATTCAAAATCTAAAATTGCAAGTGAAAATGAATTTCGTCAAGGTACTCAAAGAAAAAAGATTAGTAAAATATACATTGTTAGTTTTTTTTTGTTGGTAAAATTCGGTGATTTTAAATTCGTAAAACGCTTTGAAAATGGTTTTATTCCATAATCACCACCCATTCTTACAGGGGGAGGTCAAAGTTTCAGAATGATCCCATAGTTAGATTCTGAGATATAAGATTTATGGGAAAATATGAAAGCTTAATAATGTTAACAAAAACAATAAGCTTTCATATGAAATATGAAAGCTTAAAAATATATTATTGCAAATCATAATCATTGGTATATACTTTATCTTTCAGGGATTTTATCACAATTTAAGGATCGATAGAATACAAAAAGCTAGAAGTGAGCAGGAAGTCTTAGGGAATCACGATTCGTTTGTTGCCAGATTTGATGAAAAAAGAAAAGAATTCGAAGCTAACAAAAGTAAAACATCATCTCCAGAAAAAAAGAATCTACATGGAATAGAGTTAGAATTTTCTAGTGCAACCAAAGATTCAGGCTCATCAAAAGAAAAGGAAACAGAAAACCGAGTGGAAACAACATACACATTTTCACAAACGGACAATACAGGAGATTTGTACAAAGGTTATGATTGGAGTGCAGCTGACAATAAATATGTGTGAAAATAAGATTCTTGCTTGCCATATAAGTATCCAAGAAATCTGATTAAACCTGTCAAGTAGATATACATTTTCTTGTAGTACTATTTTGTAGATACAAATCTATGGATAAGAGCTTTAGTCAGCTGTGTGAAGAGGGGACTGCCATATAGACGTTTGTCAATGCATTAAATTTTGTACAGGATTTGTAAAGCGGTGGACACACTAGTGGAATGATTCGCCCAAATCGTTCAGCCTAATCCATTGGCGCAGAAACGCAGCCGAATGAGTGGACACACTTGGCAAATCCTTCGGTTGATTCACCAGGGGATTGCGCCATCTTTCACGTCACAGGATTAAACATGACAGTGACCATGTCTTCAAACAATCACTTAACTTCTCGATATGAGTGGTGATTGGCTAATGAATTCTACAATCGGGCGAATGCTTCGGCGAAGCGAACATACTAGGCAAAAATATTGAACATAATTCGGCCGAATAGAAATTCAGCTGAATGTCAGTGAATACACTAAGACGACTGTCGGCGTCAATTGATTAGGTGGAATTATTCGGCTGAATCATTCGGCTAGTGTGTCCACCGCTTTACGTAAATTTCTTTGTACTAGCTTCTATTTTAGATTAATCTTTGTGCATGATCAATCTGATTAAAACACAGATCCTATTTCGTTTTTACACGTTTTATTTATATGTCAGATTAAAGTATATTTTTATACTTAAACTATATGGTCACGATTTATTTATATTTTAGATTAAGCTATATACATGATTTTTATTTTAAAGTTAATCTTTGTACATGCAAATGATTTTTTATCATAACTTGAACTGTGTTATTTGTTGTAAATTAATTTAACCCACAAATATGTTTATGTGCTATTTTTCAATCATATACATGCTCATAATAAAATGAATCTCTATTATTTTCGTTCTGAATATTTTTATCCAATGTTTGATGTCTTTTATTAATGCATATATCTGGGAGTATAAATGAAGGGAGGAGAATCTATAATTTATACTTAAATACCTTATTCACCTTAATTAGAAGACCTATCTATCCCTGTTTTCAGTCTCCAGATGTTATATGTTGGCCCGTAAACTAATTTAAGAAAAAGTGTATAATTATAAAATGGCATTTAAGAAATGCATTTGCGAGAGAACCATGCAGGGACCGGCATTTTGTTTATGTATGATGGGTAACCCCTATAAACACCACTGCCACAATTTTAGATCAATCAAACCATTTTTAGAGTGTAGAAAAAAATTTGAAATTTTAAGACCGAAAAAAGCCCAAAAAATCATCATTTTTTGGGCCATTTTTCAATTATGGGGTACAACTATATTATCTGTCTAATAAGTACCTAATCATGAAAACTGAGCTCACAATTACACCGTTAAAATTTTTAAACGATGAAGTTTGAAAAGCTTAATTTACTGTAAATGCCAAAAGAGCTGTTCTTGGTAAATATATTTAATCTATCTAAGCTAATTTTCAACATTTTATTAATTCGGCGATATAATCACATGATCTAGTAGAAGGAAGATGAATTTTTGAACAGCAAATCGTAAAAAACTAGCATAGTTGTCATATACATCTGCCTATACTTGACAAACAAATCAAGTGATATTTCAAAAAGACAAAAACAAATATACTCTTCAAAAAAAGTAGGGGATACTGAAATGCAAATACCTATGCAGGTTGTGATATGATAAATAGTCATGGACACTTGACATGCTTTGAGAGTATGGTCACAGATGAAGAACTTATCGCTCCAACAGAACCACTGAGCTGCACATGCAACATGCAATAACACCATACACGTGGAAGGGGTTAATTATCAAATTTGACACTTCAAGGAAGGGTTGATGAAAACTGCCCCGTGCTGATTTATCCTACCCATGTTTGCTTTCCTATCGGTTCTTGCATAAGATTTACTGTTTAGCGTATCTTTGCTTTAGTGTGTTACGTCAACCGACAACACTGCAAGAATTGGCCGTGGCACTGCAAGAGTGGCTCAGATTGCCCCAAATCGTGATTGGACGGTTGATTAGGAGCATGCCAGGACGAATTGCTGAATGTCTGAGTATAATTGGTGGAGCAATTACTCATTATTAAGACAAAAATCAAAAACGTCCATTTTCACTTTTGACGGTGTATCTCTTTGCGAGTGAAATGGGGCCGTCAGATAAGCCACCCATATGAACTGTTTATAGTCCAGGAGCTAATGACAAAATAATATGGTCATCAGTTACAAAAGGTTTGACCCCCCAAATTTGTAGCAGGTGTCCGTAAGAGTAAAAATCAGTTGGCCAGATCGGGCACTGCTGGGGCGTATAGCCGCAGCAGCACCTTAAAGTAGCCCCCAGGGGGCCTAAAATTAGGTCATAAGTTACATGGCTGAAACTTTGTAGGGACAATGGTATCCATAGTCGGAGTAAATATTCCACAAATCTAACCAAAATTTCCGGGGCTTTCCCCAATATTGCCTCACGGGGCTAATAATATGGTCATCAGTTACATGGCTCAAACTTACCAGAAACAAAGATCCACACTTGGTAAATACAATTTTCAAAAATCTAACTAAAATTTTCGGGGCTTTCCCCAAGTCAGATCGCTCTGCAGTATCTCCGACCACACCCTAAAAATGGGGCTTTTTATATGGTCATAAGTTACATGGCTGAAACTTACCAGAAACAAAGATCCACACTTGGTAAATACAATTTTCAAAAATCTAACCAAAAATTTGGGCGCTTTTCCCAAGTCAGATCGCTCTAAAGTATGTCCAACCACACCCTAAAAATGGGACTTTTTCACTTTTGACGGTGTATCTCTTTGTGAGTGAAATGGGGCCGTCAGATAATCCACCCATATGAACTGTTTATAGTCCAGGAGCTAATGACAAAATAATATGGTCATCAGTTACAAAAGGTTTGACCCCCCAAATTTGTAGCAGGTGTCCGTAAGAGTAAAAATCAGTTGGCCAGATCGGGCACTGCTGGGGCGTATAGCCGCAGCAGCACCTTAAAGTAGCCCCCAGGGGGCCTAAAATTAGGTCATAAGTTACATGGCTGAATATTTGTAGGGACAATGGTATCCATAGTCGGAATAAATATTCCACAAATCTAACCAAAATTTCCGGGGCTTTCCCCAATATTGCCTCACGGGGCTAATAATATGGTCATCAGTTACATGGCTCAAACTTACCAGAAACAAAGATCCACACTTGGTAAATACAATTTTCAAAAATCTAACTAAAACTTTGGGGGCTTTCCTCAAGTCAGATCGCTCTACAGTATCTCCGACCACACCCTACAAATGGGGCTTTTTATATGGTCATAAGTTACATGGCTGAAACTTACCAGAAACAAAGATCCACACTTGGTAAATACAATTTTCAAAAATCTAACTAAAAATTTGGGGGCTTTCCTTAAGTCAGATCGCTCTAAAGTATGTCCGACCACACCCTAAAAATGGGGCTTTTTATATGGTCATAAGTTACATGGCTGAAACTTACCAGAAACAAAGAACCACACTTAGTAAATACAATTTTCAAAAATCTAACCAAAAATTTGGGGTCCCCCCCCCCCCCCCCCGAGTCAGATCGCTCCAAAGTATGTCCAACCACACAATAAAAATGGGGCTTTTTATATGGTCATAAGTTACATGGCTGAAACTTACTGGAAACAAAGATCCATACTTGGAAAACATATTTTTAAAAAATCTAACCAAAAATGTTGGGGTTTTCCTCAAGTCAGATCGTCCTAAAGCCCATCTGGCCAAGCCCTAAAAGTGGGACTTTTTATATGGTCATCGGTTACATGGCTGCAACTTACCGGAACTATTGTCCATGCATGAAAAATGTATTTTTCAAAAATCTAACCATAAATGTGGGGGCTTTCCCCAAGTAAGAAGGGCCTTAAAATTGCAGCCCCACCCACCCCCTCTATATAAATCATCTAAAGATATTTACATTTTAAAAAGTTTGAAATTAAATAACAGTGTTGTATGTTTTATAGCTTGGGTTTGGCAGTTCCCATGGTGATCATTAGAACAGTTTATCTCTGTGCCGCCAACAATGAACTTTTTTTTTATCTCATAATATATATTTTGTACAATATAATATTCTATAGGTGTACATGTAATGTATATTAGTCTTCAGTTACAGTCTCATAGAGTACAATTATTTTGTTTTCTTCTACACAACAGGTATGTAATTTTTACAGTCGGAACAAATTTCATTCATTTTGCAAGTTGAAGCCTAAGAACTCATTACAACATGGAAATTGAAAAAGACGATTGTAAAATCAATCCAATTCCAATTGGTAATATAACTGAAATTTCCAAATATTCTGAATTAAGGCATAAAGTCAAGCAGTTTAAAGGGACAATAAATTTCTTGCTGGCTTGACAGCTCCAGAAAATAAAAAATAGCCTTATTCTTAGTACTAGATGTGTTAGTGTCCTACCTGTTGTGTAAATTATCCATTAAATCCTATTTTACATGTCCAGAGGGTTAAAAGATATTTTTAAATCCAAGTCACATTTGAAAAACTTTACGTCAGGCTTTTCAAATCATTTAGTTGAATTTTTCCAATTTTTTAAATTAGGTGTGTTAAGATGAAATTAATTGGAATCATCAATTAATTGGAATATTGTAAAATAGTACAATTTGTTGACCAGAATAAAGATTGGGACATATTATTCAGTTACAACAAGAGTGGTATCGAGCCTTTAATATATATGTCCATATTTACGGTAGATAAATACATACAAAAATACAAATACGTAAAGTTGGAAAAATCAACCACCCTTACTTCTTTATTCTGGTATACATCATATCGCAATGGTGCCGATGTCGGTCGGATTCTTGTTTTTAAGAAAGATACACTACAAAACTGTCAACAAATTTTAGAAATCCGGAAAAGTCACGTTTGAAGTATGCTGAAATTATGCTCCCCAAAGTTGTATACGAGTTAACGGGATTTCACATGGAATGTTATAGAAGATTTACGGAGCTATCTAAAATTCAAAAGAAACAGAATGATGAAGTACAAGAAAATGACAATCCAAATTCCAATCCAAAATTAATGAGATCATGTTTAACATTGACTTCTGCATCCAGTTCAGGTGTGTTCGAGAAGGTCTGCCTGTTTTGCAGAAAATCAAACAGAAAACATCAAGGTCACAAACAGAAAGTAATAACCTGTGTCACAAAGACAATCGAAAAAAATATTCAAGAATATGCAACAATTCTTCAGGATGAAAATATGCTTAAGAACATCCAAGATATAGATTTCATTGGCAAAGACATTCATTATCATGCAATGGGAAGAATAGAATATAAACGCAGGGCTGAAAAGATGCGAGAAATAAGCGCATCATATGATAATAAAAGTGAATGACATGATGCTAGAAATATACCAAGGCATTTGATGCTTTATGTAGTTTTGTGACTGACATTATTCTGAAAAAACAAGAGGTCTACCTGTTAAATAGCTTACTGCAATACTATCAGTCATGTTTATTATAATTTGGGGGCGGAAACTATACAGAGTTAGGTATTTTGCCCAGCGATTTACAGAACAAGCTGGTTAAATTCTTTGGTGAGAATATTTCAATTGACAGTGGAAAAAAAAGGATGTGGTTGTCTTCAGAAAAGGTTTAAATGTTGATGACGCTGTTCGCAAGGCATCTGACAATGTAAGAGAAACTGAACATACAGTTCAGGGTGTCACTTTCTTACTCCGATGAGAAATATTCAGTACAAAGAAAATTAAACTGCCTGAAAATTTAACCATACAACATATCATAAATGGTGAAATAGCAGTACCAGACATGGTCTCCGCTTTCTTTACAGATCTACTAGTTGGTCCATACTCTAATTGTGGATAAAACAAAGTCAAGAGAATTCATTCCATTAGTCAGCATGTCATTTATTCTTTAACCTGGGGTAGGACTAAGCCATCAAAACACCGACAACTGGGTCTTTCAATGAAAAGCCTTACAGGCAGCAAAAAGGTTATTGGGATTCTTAATAGTTTGGGACATGCATTAAGTTACAATAGCATTGAGGAACTCTGAAACAGAATTGACATTTACATCCACTGAGCGCAACCAAGAAACACCCATTGGCATGATGGTGTCACCACACCTATCAACTGGGGTTGCTTTTAAAAACTACGATAGATTTGTTGAAATTCTTTCTGGTAAAGACACTCTTCATGATACAGTAGGCATTCAGGATTTCGTTGAGACTGACAACCAATCACCAATAAATGCATATAAACCAATAAGCCGTAAAAGGAGGAGATTTGAAGCATACATGCACTCACTGGCTTTGATCATACTGCATCGTTTAATAGGAAAGGGAAAGCCCGGCGTTTAAAATTATTAGAAAAGGCTATTTATGTCCAGAAAGCCTTGTTTTCTCTCGGTAAAAGTGAATCCATTTCTTCTGGAGTAAATAGTTATTGAAGGATTTGTTTGTAGTATCTATGGGATGCCTAAAAATGGATGTCTTTCTGGTATTAAAGGCATAGAAGCAAGCCCTTTGCCGCCATGCTCACGGGTATTAACTTTGAAAATCAAGAGAGCGAATTATATTTGTAGTGTCTGGATAAATGCGTCAAAGAATAATCTCCCCAATTTCCATCCAGAGAATAGAGGGTGGGTTTTAAATGATGATGGGATGTATGAATTAAAGTGGTTCGATGGTGATGTTGCTCCCGTGTCAGTTGAGAGTGATGAAGATAGTGGCCAAGAAAGCAAGGACCCCGATGACGAATCAAACAATTCAGCGTAGTGATGATGAAAGTGTGACATATTAACTATTGGCATCACCCAGCCACACTTAGGCTGACTCGCTTATTTTAAATCATTAAAATGTTATGCGGAACAAATATTTGCCAATGAGGAGGAAGGATAACTAAAGTTATGTGTATTGAAACTATAAATAGATTTCATAATTTCAGTAATTCATCACTGACTAAAATTTTTTAAAAATTCATTAGGTTGTTATTCATTATCGAAGATCGGGAAAAGCAAAAACTATCGAATTCAAACCAAACAACTTATTAATCCAATAAATACTTGCGAAATATTTGTTTGAATTTTCCACTTTGTTATAAGATATTGGATAACATTCTGAATCATTGTTGAATGGGTTGTTGTGATGGAATACAGAACGTTTGAAGACATAAATTTAACATTAGTCCTAACTATCTATTCATGACGTGTCGTGAATGGGGTATGACATGCTTACGCTTCCTACAACACTTGATACCATTGCTCATTTAAGGATTTCACATAGCTAATAAACATTTGTTCTATTTTTGTGCTATAATTTTGTTTTTGATGCGGTTCAACAATGTATTATTGATATTACATTATTATAAGCTTTATATAGAGGGGGTGGGTGGGGCTGCAATTTTAAGGCCCGTCTGACTTGAGGAAAGCCCCCACATTTATGGTTAGATTTTTGAAAATTACATTTTTCATGCATTGAACAATATTTCTGGTAAGTTTCAGCCATGTAACTGATGACCATATAAAAAGTCCCACTTTTGGGGCGTGGCCAGGTGGGCTTTAGGAAGATCTGACTTGAGGAAAGCCCCAACATTTTTGGTTAGATTTTTAAAAAATATGTTTTCCAAATATGGATCTTTGTTTCTGGTAAGTTTCATCCATGTAACTGATGACCATATAAAAAGTCCCATTTTTAGGGTGTGGTTGGACATACTTTAGAGCGATCTGACTTGGGAAAAGCCCCCAAATTTTTGGTTAGATTTTTGAAAATTGTATTTACCAAGTGTGGATCCTTGTTTCTGATAAGCTTCAGCCATGTAACTTATGACCATATAAAAAGCCCCATTTTAGGGTGTGGTCGGGCATACTTTAGAGCTACACAGGGTTGCTGGAAGGCAGTTCCATGGAGCATTATCAGGCCTAATAATCCAGGCAATGAATGATTTTATTGGAAAAATGATGTCAGAAATGAAGTCATTTTCTTCAAGTTCGACCATCAAATTTAATATGAAAGAAATGTTCGTACTTGGTTTTATTTTATTCCAGTCATTTTGTCAAAACCAAATATTAGTATGTAGTTCTAACTTCCATTATTAATAGAATTGTCCTTAACCCCGCAGTGGGTGAGATATAGAATCATGAAATTTATATGTTTTAGCATAATTATAGAAAAAACTATTTACTCTACTATGGAATATGTAACTGGTAAATCAGGTGATAACATGAACTGTTTGAGTTATTGTTGCGAAAGTTGAAAATCAACAGTGCTGAAGAGAAAGTGGAGGCCTTACCCCTCCTCCCCTCAGTCACTGTAGTCCTAATCCATGCAATGATTTTCAAAAGTAAGAAAACAAACCTCTGCAAAAAATTTACAAAACAATTTTTATATACATTATATCGACATGAATTATGAATGAGGGCTTTATATTTCCTGCATACATATGAAAATAATGTACAATTTGTAATAAATTATAAGAATATGACATGTGCATATAATTGCGAACAGATAGGATTCGCATTGGAAATGACATAACCTAAGCCATTGATGTTTCACTGCCAGATTATTAAGAAATTTATAATACGGCTTATGCAATACGGGTATATTTCCCAAATTATTTCGCAACTTGATATTGCAATGTCTATGTTGATATCGTCCGGTAAATATTCCATTTCAGCCAATCAGTGAAGAGATAACTCCACACTGCCGACATTATTTTGTAGTCGGCCTAGATCTCCGACAAGCAAAAGTGTTGTGGTTGTAATTTATGTTGCAGTAACCGACCAGAAAAGACACCATGGGTTTCGTAACATGTGGGCCAAACGAAGTGATGGTTTTGAGTGGTTTGTATATATATTCTTGAGTAAAATACTCAAGACGTATGTAAAGCTTTCTGCAGTCGTACTCGTTGAGTCGTTGTGTTAATTTGGCAAGACAAGAAGCCAAGCCAAACACCTTGCGCAATCCACACGGACCTGGTTTATTTGGTAGATTTTCAGTCCAAACCAAAAATAATAATATATCCCATGTCATGTAAAACGATGAGTTGATGCTATGCGGGAGTTTCCTACTTATTGGGGATTTAAAGGTTTGACTGCATTTAAACGGGTTTGGAATTCCACAGATATTCCATTTTGCAGCAAAAAAGGTCAAGGTCTGACTGATTGTCTGATGTTAGTAGATGGTGTAGATCTATGGGTAACAATGCAAAAGTTTTTTTTTTGTATAAATGTGAATTTGACTAAAACTGAATATTTACTAGCATTCTAACTCTCAATGACCTAGTTTGTGTTGAGTTGACATTAAACCCCATTTCTCTCTCTCTCTCTCACAACCAAACGAAGGCAGTAATTATTGGGGAATATTATTGACATGAACTTAAGCCGGTACAGGAATTAAATATAGTAATTTATAGAGGTGCATCTATTTTACTTTTTTATTATAAATATAAAAGAAATATAATAATAGCAATACAGTGTTTTATTCTTCAAATAAACAGCATTACATATGATTGCATGTGTCATTCTCCTATCCTGTCATCAATTCCAGGAGAGCGATTTCAATTTTTTCCAATTCCATAAGGGCTTCGTCACTTTTGTCAGTATCGTGAAAAATTAAGTAGATCATTTTAACCACTTTCTTCTTATTAAAATCGGGTGGAGTTATTTTTCCTTTTCTTCCATATGGTTTGTTTACCCACATTCTGGCACTAATTCCATAGGTTGGTGAATGAAATGTATGGGTCAATATGACATGAGAAGTGGTCATTCTATGAGAAAATAAGTTTACTTCCAGTGACGAGTGCCGTTTTTACGTTCTCCTGATAATTTTAATTTTTTAGAATATAAAAAATATGTTGTAAACACCTTTCTGGGCGTCCAAACCATGCTCGACACAAACCCCATTTTGTCTCCTTCACGAAAAGTGTAAAATCATCGATGTTTGTGTTCATACACGTTCTTAAAGTCGCAGAACAAAAATGGCTCATTCTAAGGTCAGATTTTTCGACCATGATAAAAAATAGTATCAGTGGCGCCCCTAGCGAGCTTTTGCATTGCTACTTGGGCACCGTATTTATTTAGCTCAACTTCTACACAGTAATGTGGCAAGATGCTCTTTAGTAAAATAACATAAAAAACAAAGCAAGATGGAATTTGGATCTGGCATTTTTATACTATTACTAGAATAAATTTTTTAAATTATGGATTCTGGAAATTGTACTTTAAGCCTTAAGCCAGAAGGTTCGAATTTTGAACAAGTAGACAAGAGTGGCCTTTCTTTCAATTTAAAACTGATCTAAAAAGTAAGTGTAGAAGGATTTGATACGCAATTTCAGAAGACAACCCCAAGCCTTGCCAAGGACAAGTCACAAACATTTTTTTACACACAGTCAATATATTATACAGTGATACACAGGCATTTCAAACAATAACTATATAATATACATATATATCAAATCCAATGAATGGATCTGGGGGCATAATTTATGCGTCATAAAGTAGCAATATTAATAGGTACTAATATTAATAAGCCAATTGTTGAGTAGGATTTTTTTTAATAGTTTTTATACGCCCACATTGAAATGTGGTCGTATATTGTCGTCGCCCCCGTCCGTCCACAATTGCTTGTGGACGCTCTAGAGGCTAAAGTTAATATCCGATTGACTTTAAATTTATACACAGTGTTTAAGGTCATGAGATGAAGAAGCCTATTTATTTTCAGCAATTTCCAATAATTACTGCCAGAGTTATGACCCTTGATCACTTCAAAACAACTTGTGGGCGCTCTAGAGGTCAAAGTTAATATCCGATTGACTTTAAATTTATACACAGTGTTTAAGGTCAGGAGATGAAGAGTTATGGCCCTTGATCAATTTGAAAAATCTTGTGACGCTCTAGAGGCTAAAGTTATCATCCGATTGACTTCAGATTGATACACAGAGTTTAAGGTCTTGAGACGAACAAGTATATTGATTTTCAATGAATTTTTATAACTTGAACAGCTAAATCCATAATGTTAAAAGTTTCATATACTAAATGTTAGCATGGGGCAGGACTTTATAAAAACCAAACAAATTCTAATGGTTTTCTGATAATTACTTAATGAGTTGTTACTCTTAATCAGATTTTAATGTATTATAAATGTTTCATTACCAAAAAAAAGTAAAAGTATGCAACAACTCTTGTTGCCTGCAAGGACGATTTAGCTGCTGTGGGCGTATGTTTCATTGCCTGGCAACCTATCTTTACTGTACTGTATTGTCAGCAAGTCTACACCTTTATTCGAAATGGTTTCTTACTAATGTCTTGCCCCCAGCCACTGTAGTGGATGGTTCTAAGACTGCCTTTGCGCAAGTTTCGTAATCATTGCAGAATTATAAGAAACACAAGTTTATTGGTTGAATATTTTTCAATTTGCAAACAAAAAAAGCTTTATATACAATTACAATGAGGAAATAGAATTCTGTTTTGCAAATTGCAATAATAATTAATATGTGCGAAAAGCAAAGAAAATTAATGTGTGCGAAAAGCAAAGAAAATTAATGTGTGCGAAAAGCAAAGAAAATTGATATGTAACCATCTGTTGAATTAAACTAACATCTTTCAACAATACTTTCTTGCAGGATGTTGCCATGCACGATCTGTGTTTATTCCTGGTGGCAGAGTTTTCGTATGGCCAATGATCCAGAAATTACAAAGGTAAATTAGTACAGAAATGTAATCTTTAAACTCTGTATACATATCTACTCTTCAAAAAAAGTAGGGGATATTCAGAAACAATACAAAACTGCGGAAATGCACTGCTGTTTTTATTAGAGGTAACTACATGTAGTGTATGTTAATAACAGGCAAATTGCCTATACATGAACATAAACAGTTCATATGGGGGGCTTATCTGACGGCCCCATTTCACTCGCAAAGAGATTCCCTGTCAAAAGTGAAAATGGACGTTTTTGATTTTTGTCTTCATAATGAGTAATTGCTCCACCAATCCTCAGACATTCAGCAATTTGTCGTGGCATGCTCCTAATCAACCGTCCAATCACGATTTGGGGCAATCTGGCCCATTTCTCTTGCAGTGCCACAGCCAATTCTTGCAGTGTTGTCGGTTGACGTCAATGAACACATCTCCCGATCAAATTAAACGTAACACACTAAAGCAAAGATACGCTAAACAGTAAATCTTATGCAAGAACTTATAGGAAAGCAAAAATGGATAGATAAACCAGCACACAGCATTTTTCATCAACCCTTCCTTGAAGTGTCAAATTTGACACGACTCGACAACTTAGCTTATGTGGGTGTATGTTTTTCGTTAGGCAATAAAGAAAAGTTTTAATGTAAAAAAAATAAATGTTCAATTGAATTTTTTCATTCAATAAAACCCTTAAAAATTGATTAAAGATCGCAATTATTTGGCTCAACATCTGCAAATTAACATTTCTTTAAACACGTCACACATACAATTTAAAATGACACTCCCCCAATTGTCCTAGTCAAAATAAAACTGTTGATTTTATTGAATTTAATGTGTTTTTAATTGTATTTTGGAATGACTATGTTAAAAATTCGTTATACATGTACATTGATAACGTTGAGATCAAACCGATTTTGTGCTAAATGTCAAAATTGTAAGACAAAAATGCGTTCCTTTTTAAAACTAGGTAAAAGACATCAAGACACCAATTCCATTCCAAATTTTGATTATTGAATTATGATCTTAATGCCAGTAGTGATTTATTTAATAATTGATATATTTTTCTATTTCTGCTCTCTGTTGCACAATTATTAGGATGAGTTTAAATACTTTGACCCTAACAATCACAAGTCCCCAGGTTTACACTAAAGAAGGTGTGGCTATATCTGTCACTGGTATAGCCCAGGTAAGGCAATCCTTAGGTGAAATACATGTGTTTGGTTTACCCAGTCAATAGTTTTAGTGCTAGACAGGCATGTTTAAAGAACACATATTACTTTTGCTACATTAACCAAGATGTTTTTATCCACAAAATCAGATTGCTTATCAGTTATATTCATTCCATAGTAAATTGATGACTAGTAATAAGCAGTCTCATTATGTTACGTTTTAGACTTCCATTTGATTTCATTCTTATTCTTGTAAATAAGACTGACTGATTTTGTTTTATGTGATCTCTAAAATTTCACAATAATGAAGAATACTTTACTTTTTTATAGATGTAATGTAATTTATGTTGATAAAAATATCTTTACAATCATATTTTATAATAAGTGTTGTGGTGATAGCTTTTTGATTTGTCAAAAAATAAGATTTTATTCTGATTTAATATTATAAAATGGATAATACTTTGTACCATTACAGTAAAAAGTTTAATAACATATGATTTACTTGATTATCATTCTTCAATTTGTTGCAAAGAAAAATGAAATATAGTTCATATTTTAAAAACTAACATTCTTTAAGTGAGAAATCTACTTACCATCCATTTCTTTATGCATCCGTTTAAATACTGGATGTTTTCAAAAATTCTCTCAATTCCAGGGATTTTAGTGCATTTTAAGGACTGATAATCAAGTGGTTAACTTCTGGTTTTGTTTCCTCCATAATCACCATTTGAATACTTTGAGCATCATTTGGGGAAAAATATCCCTACTAGTACTACAAGGAAAAAATTAAGTGGATTGGAAAAATAAAGAAACGAGACCCAATTATGGTCCCAGAAACTTATCTTTAAAATGGAAACACCAGCTTGGCACAATTTCAGTTAAGCAAGCTGTTTACGTTTATATCTTATTTTCTGGTAAATCTGTATTAGCTGTGTGCCAGTTCCCAAATTTGCCTTCAGTCTACATGTATTTTTTTTTGTTGAGTTTTATTTTTTTGTTTCTGTATACTGGTATAATTTTCAGATTATCGTTAAATGTGCTGACCTTAGTTATTGAAAGTGCTCATGTATACACACAGTTAGGGGTAGCAATATCTGTTACTGGCATAGCACAGGTGAGATACAATATATGACAACTTTTATTTGGTGTCTCTATTAGTAACTATTACTTATAAGTCTGTATGTAGTACATAAAATTTTCGGCTTATTTTTACTCATTAGAACCATATCAAATGTGCCTGAATTGTCTATGATCATTCCATACCCATGATCAATAAAGATCCTAATGTTATGCCTAAGATAATGTTCCCCTTATCTAATCTTTTTATCAAATGTAAATGTTAAATTTCTTATAACCAATCTTTTTATCAAATCTTAATGTTTTATTTCTAATAACCAATCACGGTATGAATTGTTATGCCGAATATAGTTGCATGGCACAATTGCATGACTTGGTATGTCAGAGATTCACTTCTTGTCTATTAAATTAAAGACATGGTTAGTTGCATTATTTTCTTTTTTAATGATCGACTGAAACCAAATACACTTGGTTAGAATATCTTTCTTTTTTTTTTTAATTTTATAATGTACAGAACTGTTTTCAGGCATCATTTTTACCTTTTATAAAAGTTTTGCAGAATAATCAAAATTTTAAATATTACATTAGTAATTATTAATTTGATTAAATTTTAATTTTAAAAGCAACTGTCTTATCACTATTTTTCCATCAACTAGAGCAAATATGCTAAGATACAAATGTATTCATCCCAAATAGTGTCTATTTGCACTGATTAAAACATGTACGTGTATGTTTTGAGCACATAAATTTTAAAAAGGTAGAAATTTTAACCCTAACCAGTTAGCACATATTTAATGTCGGTCTACCATTTATAGTCATTGAATGCATGTATCTAGCTAGAGTAAAATTTAGTCAATACTATTTAACTGTCATTTCATTTTATAATAACTTTAAATCAATTGTATATCCCAGTAATGAATAGATATACAAGTCTATCAAGTATCAACATGTAATACTATTTATGATTTTAAGATAATTGTCACACAAATTAACAGTTCAATACCAATGTTTCACAATTTATTTTCATAATTTCTGACATAATAATTTCGTTTTTTTTAATTTTATTGTGCTCATCAGGTAAGAATACAAGGATCCAACGATGAAATGCTGCGCTCTGCTTGTGAACTTTTCTTGGGCAAATCCGAATCTGAAATACAGAAAATTGCTCAAGAAACATTAGAAGGTCATCAAAGAGCCATGATGGGTAACATGACCGTAGAAGTTAGTATTAAGCCTTATTATATAATAATATGTATCTTGTAACCATGGTGAAATATTTAGGTAGATTAGACTAAAGTCTTGGGAGGTGAAAGATAAATAGACTTTAATAAAGGTTCTTCATGTCCTTTAAAGATACATTAGTTATGAGCTAAATCTCTCTATTGCAAGTCTTTTTTAGGCTCCAGATGTTATAAAAATTATTAATTAGACCTTTATTTACATGCCAAGCTCAAAATCTACTCTGTAGACCCTTGGATGGCTTGGATACAGCTTGGATTTAAACATTTCATAATTAAATCAATAAATAGCTGACCAAGCTAACGTTTACCGTAATAACTGACGTCACTACGGGAGACTGCCGATGAAAGGTCTGCTAATCGAAGGTGCCGTAGCCCACACTGATCAGCAGTGAATATTTGCTAGGCCGCTACAATCACTGATAGGGATGACATCAGTGTGACTTAATGAGCCCTCAATATTAACTTTTGTTCTTATGCAAATTAAATTCTAGAAATTTTTTATATGCCCACATGGAAATGTGGACGTATATTGCTGTTGTCTCCGTCCATTGTCCACAATTTCTTGTGAACGCTCTAACGCCAAAAGTTATCATTCAATTGTTTTAAATTGGATATATGTTGTTTACATTAGTGAGATGAAGAAGCCAATTTAATTTCAATAATTTCTGTTTATTACGTCTAGAGTTATGGCCCTTGTTTTGCCTTGTTAATCCTTGTGAACGCTCTAATGCCAAAAGTTAACATCTGATCTTTGTGAAATTTATATGCAATATTTAAATTAGGGAAACGAAGAAGCCTATTGAATTTCAGCAATTTCCGTTTATTACGTCTAGAGTTATGGCCCTTGTTTCACTTTATTGAACCTTGTGAATGCTCTAACATCAAAAGTTATCTGCCGATCTCTATGAAATTTACTTGCATCATTTAAATTAGTAAAGAGAAGAATCCTATTGAATTTCAGCAATTTCTGTTTATTACTTCTAGAGTTATGGCCCTTGTTTCACTTTGTTCAACCTTGTTAATGCTCGATTGACGAAAGTTGTCATCCGATATGTATGAAATTTATATGCATCATTTAAATTTGTGAAACAGAGGTCTATTGAATTTCAGCAATTTCCGTCAATAATTTCTAGAGTTATGGCGGTTGTGAACCTTGTGAACATTTGTATGACAAAAGTGATCATCTGATCTGTATGAAATTTATATGCATTATTTAAATTAATTAGTAAAACGAAAAAGCCTGTCAAATTTCAACAATTTCTGTAGATTACTTCTAGAGTTGAGACCCTTGTTTCAGTTTGTAGAACCTTGTGAACCCTCAAACGGCAAAAATTATAATCTGATCTGTATGGAACTGTCTTGTAAAGGCCCCTAATTACCTACAAAGGAATAAATATGCGACAACCCTTGTCGACCGCTCGGATGAGTTAGCTGCTGTAGGCGTATGTTTCGTTGCCTGGCAATCTATCTTTTTAAGCATTGGAAAAATAAAGGTGTTTGGGGTATATGTAGGTAAAAAATATTTCCTATTTAGTGTAAATGGGTATGTAAAATGAGTAAAAGGCACCATTCTGCCTGGACCAGTAACGTCAAATATTGAAAGGAGCCGTTATTTACGGAGGTATTAGAAGCCTCTGGAAAACAGATTGACTGTAGCCATTGAGAATGTTACTTGATAATCGAGAATGCGTGGGTAGAGTTATCGTTTTCAATCAAACAATCAGTGATTCTTTTAGCAAGAATGACTAACTCTATATTAAACTCTTAACTAATGTATCTTTAATAATCTATGGTAATGGAGACCATTACCACAAACAATTTCAAATTAACTGACTGTTATGAATGTAGTCTTGTGCACTATGCTTTACATTTATGCAAATTTGCAAATCAATTTGAATTAAGATTAAAATATTTTTTTCTCAATTTCAAAACTTAGTGATTTGTAGCCAGGAGCTTTTGGGAAGAGCAAGCAAAGCAAGATGTTTAAGCTACTAGGGTCAACTTTTATGAGAATTTGTGGTGCCTCCTTTCCAAGCTCTACCCTGAGTAGTAATGTCAGAATATGGTCTTATCTTATCATTCATTACATAAATGCATTTGAATATGGTCGTATCAATACACTAAATGCACTTGTTTTCTTCCTGAAGGAAATCTATAAAGATAGAAAGAAGTTCTCAAAGGCTGTATTTGAAGTTGCATCATCAGATTTGGTTAATATGGGTATAACTGTTGTCAGTTACACATTAAAGGATATCCGTGATGAGGAGGTTGGAGAATTTTATCTTGTGTTAAAACTAATTTTTTATTTCATGATATGTTTTGACGATCAGTATTCACACCCACATGAGTACACCAGGGATAATAATCAAACTATTCCAATATTTGGGGATGAAATAGAGCTTTGGCAACAAACGTTAAAAATTTAAATTGGTAAAGAATATAAGCGAATAATAAGTTTCATAAGATCAAACCATTTTATTTAAAACCCCAGCTGATACTGCGATATAATAGTATATTACCCATTAGTATCTAATTTATGAAGCTGTTATGCCAACTGGAAGTACCGTGAAATAATACCCCTTTTGATTACATGCAAGAATGTAAGTGAATGTAGGGAGATAACTCCAGAAAAAGATCAATTTCATAACAAAACAAAACAAAATTTAAATGCAATTTATTGTTAAGGCGTTTATTTTTAACACACTAAGGTATTAAAACAAAACTTTCAAAAAGAAAGTGCTGGCTTTAATTATTATTGCTATAAAGGTAGCTACTGATTGATTTGAATAATATGTAGCCATATATTTTTAGTAAGTATACATTGGATTGCATGTATCCCTTTTTATACGCCCACATCGAAATGTGGTCGTATATTGCCGTCGCCCCCGTCCGTCCGTCCGTCCATCGTCCACAATTTCTTGTGAACACTCTACAGACTACATTTATCAACCGATTGTTTTGAAATTGATATATGTTGTTTGCATTAGTGAGATGAAGAAGCCTATTTAATTTCAATAACTTCTGTTAATTTCTTCTGGAGTTATGGCCCTTGTTTCACTTTGTTGCACCTTGTGAACGCTCTAACGACAGAAGTTATCAACCGATCTGTATGAAATTTACATGCATCATTTAAATTAGTAAAACAAAGAAGCCTATTGAATTTCAGCAATTTCCGTTAATTACATTTAGAGTTATGGCCCTTGTTTCACTTTGTTGAATGTTGTGAACGCTCTAATGACAAAAGTTATCAACCGATCTGTATGAAATTGATATGCATCATTTAAATTAGTGAAAGGAAGAAGCCTATTGAATTTCAGCAATTTCCATTAATTTCTTCTGGAGTTATTGCCCTTGTTTCACTTTGTTGCACCTTGTGAACGCTCTAACGACAAAAGTTATCAACCGACCTGTATGAAATTTATATGCATCATTTAAATTAGTAAAACAAAGAAGCCTATTGAATTTCAGCAATTTCCGTAAATTACATCTAGAGTTATGGCCCTTGTTTCACTTTGTTGAATCTTGTGAACGCTCTAATGACAAAAGTTATTATCCGATCTGTATGAAATTTATATGTATCATTTGAATTAGTAAAACGAACAAGCCTATTGAGTTTCAGTTATCACCTAAATTAGTGAAATGAAGACAAACAAGCCTATTGAATGTCAGCAATTTCCATCAATTACGTCTAGAGTTATGGCCCTTGATTTACTTTGTTGAACATTGTGAACTTTCGAACAACAAAAGTTATCATCCGATCTGGATGAAATTCATATGCATTATTTGAATTATTAAAACGAAAAAAGCCTGTCGAATTTGAACAATTTCTGTAGATTGCTTCCAGAGTTACGGCCCTTGTTTTAGATTTTAGAACCTTGTGAACCTTCAAACAACGGAAATTATAATGTCATCTGTATGAAATTGTCTATTAAATTCCCCTAATTACCTACAAAAGAATAAATATGTGACAACCCTTATCGACTGCTCGGACGATTTAGCTGCTGTGGGCGTATGTTTTGTTGCCTGGCAACCTATCTTGAAATATAATTAATAAGATAATTTGTAATTAAGAATATCTGTATTCATGTGGGAAGTGATGCATTGTCAGGGTTCTATAACTGTGTATATGTATCAATTCTGAGAGAAAAAATATTAATGCTAGTTGCCAGATATGTTACAAGAAATTGTTGATGTTTATTCATTATCAATGTGCAAATTGACGTTTTTCAATCAGAATTATTAATGTTACCGCGATATTTTGATAGAATGTGCATAGATTTTTATGTACTTTAATAAACTTACAAGTTATAGAATCCCTTTGACAATACGTAAGCTAAAGTATACAAGCTAACTTAATGTGTGTACCATCATATTTTTGTTATCATATTTCATTAAGCTAATTCTTTCCTTGTGGTATATAAGATTAAATACTCCGCTACATGTATTAGATAAAGTACAATATTTTTGTTTAGATCTATTTTTTAAAAAAAAAGCAGATATACTGAAGGAACTTTTAGAAGTGTCAATTTTGTTCATATTTTTGAAATCTTGAATGAAACAAAAAAAAGATACTTTAAGATTATTTATAATCAATTACTAAGCTAGACCTTTGTTTCAGGGCTATTTACAAGCATTAGGTATGACTCGAACTGCTCAAGTTAAATGTAATGCTAGAATAGGGGAAGCTGAGGCTCGATGTGAATCGGGTATAAAGGTGATAACACCCATATCAGATAACTATCCTCTGGGGTCATAGGTCTCATTTTGACCATGTTTTTTTTTCTTCATCCGGCTCTGATTTTGGTTGTACTACTTTACATGTAATTGTAGGGACGTGAAATTTCCCATGAATTTGAATTAAGAAATTACTCAGTTGCTGTGATGATTACAAAAAACATGCTCAATTCATATCATCTGTTTATAATCTCCTCTGGACTAACCTCAACCATGACATTTCTTTTTAAATTAGGGATATCTTAAATCTTTGGGTATGGCTCGTACTGCCCAAGTTAAAAGAGATGCCAGAATAGGTGAAGCAGAGGCCCGTAAGGATTCTGGTATTAAGGTGAAATTGAAGTTCCTTAAAAGGAATTAAACATGTGGCTATACAATGAGATCGAGTTTAAACATAGTATCTTATTCTATGGTCGTATGTTTTTGTACCCCGCCCTTGGAAAGGAGTAAGGTTTTTTCATTGAACTTGTCTGTCCATCTAAAGAAGCTTAACTTCATGTTACTTTGAGACTTTTAATGGAACTTGCTAGTCATCTATTTGACTGCTTTGACATTATCTTGAATGACTTGAAAAGATTCTAATTTTGCGCTTATTTAATAAGATACTAACTGCCAACTGATCTGTTAATGTCAGATAATAATTCCACTGCATTTATAATAAAATATATACCTTACTCGGAAATTTTCAAAAATAAAAATTAATTATGAGTTTTCTTGCATACATGTTTTCAGCTTAGTTCGCAAGATGACTGATATCAGGAATATTAAATAATTTATGTTGTTAATTTTGGGCGGGGCACATGCTCCTTTCTTGTCAGTTTGTAATATGTTGATTAGAAATTATTGCATGGTGTGTGTATAAATGTTAACATTACATTATTGCTATCTACATGTAACTTATGCTCAGGTTGGCTGATCTTTGCAATGTGATGGAAGTTGAATTTGAAGATATTATTTTTCTTTTAGATTAATTTGTATTCAAAATAAGATATAATAACAAGTTGTTATTTATACATGGTTTGAACAAATCTAAAAGCCCTAGGGTTGTCATAGGACAGGCCTTGTCCTGTGAACCTTGCTCACTGGCAATAATTAATGGTTTTATCAGAAGCTCATATTGCTAAATATTGTATCTTATCTCCATAAAGACCAGTGTAAAGTATTACACATACAATGTACATGTAATAGTGATTTTGTAATTGGATTACTGAAAACTACTACTTCAAAATACAAAAAAAAAGATTTCTTTGAATTTTGGAACTTCAAACTACAAATTTTAACCCTAAAGTCATTCCTTTATTTGTACAGTTTTAGTTATTACTAACTCTCAAACTTTTCTTTACACCAATACAAATTATGAGGAAATGTCAACTAATTTTAAGTCATTGTTCCTTATGATCAAATCCTGCCTGTCACATAAGTCATGATGATATTTAACCATTTCAACTGATTGAAACTTTTATTACTGTTCTGTGAATTTAATTTTTAATTCTGACAAAAAATGCAATAGAACAGTCCTGCGATATGCAATAAATTAAATCACAAGGGCCTGTAAAATGGAAAATCTCTTTCAAGTGTTATACACAGCTTAATTTTATTTTTAAAAGATTTTCCACTTTACAAAAGCTCTGTGGGTTTCATGACTAATGAGAAGAGAAAACGTGTCTTAAAAGAACGAACGTCTCTACCATTTGAATTGAAATAATGCTGGTCTCTTCACTGTTTTGAGAAAGGTTATCCACTATTTTGAAATAATGGAATCTCGGAACCATTTTGAATTAAAAGGGTGCTAAAATAATGTGATATTATTTGACTGTTACTATGACGTTCCTCCTCATTTTCCTCATCTTTCCATTAATATCTACATTTTTTTATCTTACCAGTTATAGCAATAAATGCTTTATATTCCCTGTTTGTTTGTTTTTTGGTTTTTTTTGTTTCTTAAAAATACGTACTGGTAGATTTTTTGAGCCATTGTAATGGCTCAAATTAATACTCATTCAAATGCCTATTAAACATTCAAATTAAAGACTTAAAATTCAGTACCAAAGCTTATATTATTATTATTTGATATTCTGTAACTCAATATTGGAAACAAAATGATAGAAATAACAAAATACATTGCATGTTTTATAGCATTTTATTTTGTATAATATTAATAGGAAGCCATAGCTGAGGAGAAACGTATGGCTGCACGTTATGCCAATGATATTGAGATTGCTAAAGCCCAGAGAGATTTCCACTTAAAAAAAGCTGCTTATGATCAGGAAGTACACACTATGAAAGCATCTGCTGAAATGGCCTATGAACTACAGGTAGGATTAAATAAAAGTAAATCACTAAATGCTGTATGTGGTCTGGCAGAAGTATGGCTGAACCCAGTGTACTCATTCCATTCTACTCCACTATACCCTGGGTTAATCCATAGGGTTTCCACGATTTCAAATTATGTGCCCTGGCCTAGAATGTAGCTACAGTCTACGAACCAATCAGAAAACAGTTTACAAACCAATCGTTTCGCCTTCGTTTTTATAAGGGTAGATAACCATATTCATGCCCATTTACTGAATGATTGATGTAAATAATCTATATATTTATAATTTATTTATATTTAATTGTATTATCAAAATCTGTAGTATGTATTGTTGATTTCAAATATGTATAACATCTATATGTTTGACTTTTGTTATTATTATTACTATTCGTTCTTTGTCTGAAATATGTCATTCTGTTATGTTTATTATTATTGAACTTATACTTGGCAATTTGATTCACAATAACGGTACGATATAACGTGGACATAAAATTCCGGGAATGAACGAACAATTCTTGATAAAACTAATGACCCTACATTATTATATGAATGTCTGGACTTCATTAACATAATATAAAATTGGTTGTTAATAATTAAGCATTTAGAATAGGCCAACTCCTAACATTGCCCGATGAGAGTTACTTCCCTTTGCCAATTTCTTTTCAAATAACAATTTATGGGATTGGTCGATATCAATAGCACAATCATCAAGGGCGGATAACTTGAAAACGTGTCTCCCCCATAGATTAACCCAGGGTATAGTGGAGTAGAACGGAATGAGTACACTGGGTAACCGAGGATGGGCTGAACCTGAAAATAGTATACAAAGTATTTTTTATGATTGATTTTAGTAGCCTAGAGTGTCCTCTTTCAGAATCTGCCAGGTGAACCTTGGTCACCCGTGAGCTTTTTGAGAAATTCAAAATGGCGTCTAAATTTAAATTGGGCTGCACACATTAAGCACACGGGAATGGCTGATCCAAAACAGAGCTGCGTTGCACATGCTCGGTGATCTGAAATTCAATGAAATTATTGAGCAGATTTGGTCCAATAGCAAATCACGATTTAAACGAATATTCCTGAATGTTAGTGGTGGTTCATTCTTTTCGGAAAAGAAATCACAAATTTTAGATGACCAAAAAAAACATAACTCCGTTAACATTGACAACCCAAATCAAATATGTCGGCCGCGCGTACACAAAAGCAGTGCATTTTAACAGACATTCAAATGGATATATCTTAGGAAATATAGCATGCAGATACAGTTTCTTGATAGTTTGTGATAAAGGGATTATCTAGGGTTGTTGTAGATGTAGTGCCATAACTGTAAATAGTTTTCGAGATTTTTTCAGCTCAGGGCACCCTACTAATGGTTATTCTGTAGAATCCATACGAGTGTGTTAAGAATATGTGGATAGTTTTTTTAGCCAATAATGATATATTGAAAAATAGATTTTAATGTTTTTTATGATGTAGATTTTATAACAAAAACAGTAACTCACATTTACTTTATTGTTGCTATACGGATGGTGCACCTGTTCGTACAGTTTGTTACTGGATGTGTCGATGAGTTAAAGTCAATTGTGGTACTTAATATTGTTAATCTCAAATTAACCGTCATATGTAAAATTGGCTCGTTGGAAAGTCCATATATTATATGTTATGGTCCGGGGAGGTTGGGTGGCCGAATGGTTAGCACGTGCGTGCTGTATCATAAAGCCTGTCATTGAGTCAACTGGCGTGGTTTCGAATCCCCGGTTGTACGTGACAAGGAGTAGGGTCGCCAGTCCAACCTCGTGGGTTTTCTCCGGGTCCTCCGGTTTCCTCCCACAGCTAAAGACCCCTACCCGCAAGCGAATTATTGAAATAAAATTAAACCATATGTTAGTCCCGAAATGACCCAGTTTGTGTCGAGTGGACGTTAAACTCCATTTCTCTCTCTCTCTCTATGTTATGGTCCATCAGCATGCAGATAATTTACATCTTGCATTTTTACTTAAATAATATAATATTATCTTTATTTCATGTAGGCTGCTAAAACTAAACAAAAAATTCAAGAAGAACAGATGCAAATTACCGTCGTTGAAAGAACTCAGATGATTCAAGTACAGGATCAAGAAATTGTTAGACGTGAAAGGGAATTGGAAGCTCAAGTTCGCAAGCCTGCCGAAGCAGAAAAATACCGCATGGAAAAAATTGCCGAGGCTAACCGAGCTAAAATTGTTATGGAGGCTCAGGCTGAAGCGGAGGCTATTCAGGTAAAATATTATACTGCTTCAAGACAAAAGACTAGAAAAGAGGTGATAAATCCTTCAAGCAGATTTCAATGAAAAGCATGTAAATTTAAATCATTGTGAGTTCAAGCTTACATATGTTTCAATATAATATAATCTTACTCCAGAGAATATTATTAGGGAAAAAGAGATATAGAGTCAAGCAATATATTGGATTATTGCAGTATCCAAAATTTATTGTCATTTGCCCCCCCATTAATCTGGTCTGCCCTCTGTTTTAAAAAATATTTTTAGAAAATAAAAAAAAGTATTTGTGATACGTTTCGGTAATTAATACCTTCTACGGTGAATAAATCCCACATCCTCACTCAGTCATAAACTTGCATGTTGTAGAGCATTTCCGACAGTCTATTTTTCAAAATTTTTGTGGCGAGGTCCCCAATGGACTCGCTACTTTGGCGCTCACAAGGGGAATTCGTTGAGGTTCGCAAGTCCGTTCGTTTGACATTTTGTTCTCTAGTCGGATAAACTAGTGATCGGGCGATGGACGGTATCTGGTCAGATCTATTTATCTCGGCGATTGGTGCCTGTAAGACAGCATTTCCGGCATTCTATTTTTCAAAATTTTCTGGGGGAGGACTCCCTACTTTGACGCTCTTGAGTAGGCTTCGTCGTGATTCGCAAGTCCGTTCGTTTGACACTTTACCTCACCGATCAGTGCCTGAAATACTGCCAGGCTGCATTTCCGGCAACCTGTTTTTAAAAATTTTCTGGGGGAGGCCCCCTACCCCTAGTTAAAGCTCGTGCCTTTGCCCCCTTCACCTTGGACTTTGCCCCAGCTTTGCCCCTCCAATCACTGACGGCTGGCGCAGCCACTGGTGACAAGGAGTAGGATCGCCTGTCAAGCCTCGTGGGTTTTCTCCAGGTCCTCCGGTTTCCTCCCACTGCTAAAGATCCCTACACTCAAGCGAATTATTGAAATTAGATTAAAACATGTGTTAGTCCCAAGATGACCTAGTTTGTGTTGAGTGGACGTAAAAACCCCATTTCTTTCTCTCTATTGGAGGAATGGCCATAATATAGATTGGACTATTGCGGTATTTTTACTGGTAAAAAAATATTATCAATAAAATTTACATATTGCTATTTTATTTATTGAAATTATTGTCCAGCCCTGACAAATGTCGTGCATCTTTCCCTCTGGTAATCTGCCTTCAAATTTAAGGTGATGATTAAGAATACATAATGTTGATTGCATAGTGCTTATATATAAAGAATTACATGCCACATAATTGATTTTACCTATATACAGTGATTACCATGTTCCTGTCTAAGCCACTGCATGTTGGGGTTTTTGTTCAACATGGTAAATGGACAAATGTATGGATTTTGAATATGACAATTTCTACTTTCTTTATACTCTAGTTGAAAGGTGAAGCTGAAGCCTATGCTATTGAAGCAAAAGCTAAAGCTGAAGCTGAACAGATGGCAAAGAAGGCCGATGCCTGGAAGGATTACCAAGATGCTGCTATGATTGATATGGTTTTAGAAACACTGCCTAAGGTACCATTTACATATTTTTATATGCCCACATTTAATCTCGTCACCTATGTCTAGGGGGCTGTTAAACTTTTCTAGTGAACACTCTACACACTACAATTCTTTTTATACGCCCACATTTTCATGTGGACGTATTATGCCGTCGCCCCTGTCCGTCCAGACGTCCACAATTGTTTGTGGACTCTCTACAGGTCACAATTCTTATCCGATTTCGACGAAATTTGAAATATAGGTTTATCCCCAAAAGATCTTGGCTGCTTTCGATATTGGCATGTATTGGATCGAAACTTCATGGATTATGGCCCCTGTTTGTACGAAAAATCACATTTTTAGCTTGTGGACCCTATAGGGGTCACAATTTTTATCCGATTTTGTTGAAACTTGAAATGTAAGTTTATAACCCAAAGATCTCGGTTCCTTTCGATATTCGTGCATATAGGACCGTAACTTCCTGAATTATGGCCCCTGATTGTACGAAAAATCACGTTTTTAGCTTGTGGACCCTATAGAAGTCATAATTTTTATCCGATTTAAAAAAACGTTCTATTATATCACCGTTACACCCTAAGGATGACTGAGTTCGAATTTCGTGAAAATCGGCCCAAAATTGACAGACAAAATGGCTGCCATTCGTTCCAAAATAGCGTAAGAATATGGTATATCAAGGTTGTGGACCCTATAGGGGTCACAATTTTTATCCGATTTTGTTTAAACTTGAAATGTAAGTTTATAACCCAAAGATCTCGGTTCCTTTCGATATTCGTGCATATCGGACCGTAACTTCCTGAATTATGACCCCTGATTGTACGAAAAATCACGTTTTTAGCTTGTGGACCCTATAGAATTCATAATTTTTACCCGATTTAAAAAAACGTATTATATCACCGTTACACCCTAGGGACGACTGAATTCGAATTTCGTGAAAATCGGCCCAAAATTGACAGACAAAATGGCTGCCGTTCGTTCAGTTCCTTTCGATATATGCGCATATCGAATTGTAATTTCCTGAATTATGGCCCTTGATTGTAGGAAAAATCACTTTCTTGTTAGCTTGTTCTCTATCCATCTCTCGAAAATGTGGGCGTATCCTGCCTGGCAGCCGCTGGTTATATGCCCACATTGAAATGTGGTCATATATTGTCGTTGCGCCCGTCAGGCCTGAGTCCACAATTGCTTTTGGAAGCTCTAGAGGCTATAGTTAATATCTGATTGTCTTTAAATCTATACACAGTATTTAAGGTCAGGCCCTTGAACACTTTGAAAAATCTTGTGGACCCTCTAGAAGCTAAAGTTAATATCTGATTGTCGTTAAATTTATACACAGTATTTAAGGTCATGCGATGAAGAATCCTATTGATTCTCAGCGATATCCGATAATTACTGCCAAACTTATGGCCCTTGAACACTTTGAAATATCTTGTGGACCCTCTAGAGGCTAAAGTTAATATTATTTGTTTAAGGTCACGAGGCAAACAATCGAAACAAATTCTAATGTTTTCTGATAATTACTTCATGGGTTATTAATTATAATCAGATTTTCATGTGTTGTAAATGTTCTCATTTCTGAAAAAATAAAAAATATATGACAACACTTGTTGACTGCCCGGACGACTTAGCTGCTGTGGGCATATGTTTCGTTGCCTGGCAACCTATCTTTAGAACTGCAGAGAGTGTTCATTTTGGTTTTAAGGAAGAACCCTGTTGAAATATAAATTCGATCAGCCCCATAGGATTTGGGGAGGGGGAGAGGAGAGGGGGTACTTGAAAGGGGAAGAATTAGATGAATTCACACATTAAAACTTCCTCTGCTGAACTATGCTGAAACATTATTACTTTTAAAAATGAATAATATATTATTTGAAACTTATTCTGTGAATTGCATTTAGTAATTGTAACATAGAACACTATTTGTGGATAAAAATTTCTGTGGTTTATTAAACTGACTTTTCAAGAAGGTTTCACAAGTTATGTTGTGTGACTTCTATATAATCTCAGTGTTACCTCAGTTTTAACAAGAATTAAAAGAAAAAAAAGTTGCATTGTCAAAGATTGAGATTTGTGTTTGAAAACATAAAATTAGACAGTTTGCAAAAACATTATTTTCTGTGATTGTTACAGGTTGCTTCCGAGATTTCTGGTCCATTGACCAATTGCAAAAAGGTTACCATGGTGTCCAGTGGTAAAGGAGAGGTCGGAGCATTGAAATTAACCAATGAAGTGATGACGATTATGGAGAAACTACCAAGTGTTGTTGAGAATCTAACAGGAATCAACATTCAGAAAGTGAGTATTTTAATTCCTGACAGTAGAGAGTTAGCTATGGATCCAGATCAAAGTTTGGGTCTCTATTGAAAACAGTACTGGCAAAGCTGCCATTGCAAAGAAATATGAAATGAAATTGGGTTTAGTATTCTAATTTATGGGACTGATTGACCAAAGTTAATTAAGACGGGCATTTGCCATGCAGTGTGCTTTGAAGTAAATTTTGCTTGGACAATGGCACTTCAGTCTACTCTATTGATTTTTAACTATTTCCAATAATTACTGCCAGTGTTATGGCCGTTGACCTCTTTGAAAAATCGTGTAGAAGCTTTAGAGTCTAAAGTTAATAACTGATTGACTTTAGATTTATATACAGTGTTTAAGTTCATGAGATGAATAAGCCTGTCAATTTTCAACGATTTCCAATGATTATGGAAATTGATATTGATAGAACCGAAATGGGTTGTTACTTGGTGTGTTGTAAATGTTTTCATTTCTAACAACAACAAAAAAAAAAATGTGACAACCCTTGTTGATACATGGATGACTTAGCTGCTGTGGGTGTATGTTTCGTTGCCTGGCAACCTATCTTTTATATGAAATGCCGTAATTTAACCATTTGTCTCTTTCTTTACCTCAAAACAAAGCACAGCAGTTGCAGACCTATCTACAAGTATTATATAGATTTCTTAGTAAATAAGCGTTACCAAAGTTAATTAACTGTATTTTAATTTCTTTTTCAGACGATGAAAATCTCACAAAGACATTAACATGTATGTCTACCACTTTTATACAAGAAAATAATTCAAAAATAAATCCTTCAAATATGAAATTTTATATCATCAAATACCAATAAATGTTATAAATACATTTTGTGAAATGAACAAAGTGAAACAGTTTTTATAAACCATAGTAATTTTTATAAAAAAAATTGACAACACAAATTATACATATATATTCAGCTCATTAAAATCAACTATGAAATTTAAAATTAAAAACATTTAACCAAATTGTACATGTATATTCAAATCATTAAAATCAACTTTGAAATTTTAAACTTTAAAACATTTAACTAAATTATACATGTAACTTCAGTTCATTAAAAACAACTTTGATTTTTTTAAACTTAAAACATTTAACCATATGTTCTTGTATATTGAGATTTTATGTTCGAATATTTATCTCTCATGGTGTTTTATAACTTTAAAAATAATGGTATTTTTTCTTCATTTTTATACAGTGGTTCTAATCAAATGTTTAAATTGTCCTGTAGTGTTTTCTATTGTATATAAAATGTGTTGTGAATGATATTCATATTTTCATTAGTATAGATCTAGTGTTCTCATCTTGTCATTAATTTAGTCAGTCTGTTCTTGCATTCTCTCAAAAAGGATGATACACAATAAGTGAATTTGACCCTGGGTTAGTTTTTAAATTTGCCTTATGCTCAAATTATTTCTGGTCATCTCGTCAATGCAATCTCTGATTTTTCATTATAGGAATTTAATGTATAATGTGATGAACAGTGCCACTAGTCTAAAGCATAATTTGTGGAATGTCATTAAAAAAAAAAAAATCAGATTTGGATAATGATCAGTTAAACACAACTTTTACACAAGTTGTTGGAAAATGTAAATTGTTTCCATACAAATTTCTTTATCTCATTTCAAAAGTTTACGACAATCAAAGCTCTAGCTGTCTTTGCCGAAATTACAAATTTTTCCTATAATCATTATCAAGTATTTTTCTTTTAAAACACAACATCAAATTATTGATTATTCATACATTATTATTATTAATTTGTACATTTGTTCATATTTTTTTTTATTATTTTAATTTATGTTTTACTTCAGCTCATAATTTTATATGCTTCAAATTTATCAAACACTTTTATGCTCAGTAAGAATTTTTTGAAAACGTTGTTTGTTCTGTCGTGGAGAATACAGGTATATTTCACCGTAATTCTTTATAAGATTCTTAAATTGAAATAAGCCATGATACAAAGTTTTGAGTTCCAAAGGAGGCTAAGCAGAAAGAGATGGGCAGGGTGGTGTTACACTTTTGACATCTACTTTAACACAAAAAAGGTGCACCATCTGCTTCGATAAGTTGTATGCTGTTCAGAATATACCTTACTGTAACTTTTATAAATCATATCTTTATTGTACTTTTGGTCACATACTCAGTATCTGAATAATCCAATTCGCTGCAAAGAAAATCTGATAGCATACTCTTGCCATGATTTTTTTTTTGCAATAATTACCTTTTTAAAACTCTGCCTGTATTAGACTTAGAGATTATAAAGATATATTAGGCTGTAATTGATTTAATTATTGTGTAAAACTATTTTATGTTCTATATCTTCAGTATTATTAACATCATATTTTAGTTGTTAATATTTGGTTATTATTTTACAACCTAAGCATTTTTAATAACCAATTGTCATATTTGTATAAGTTCATGTTAGTACATTAAAATATAAGCTCCTTAAAATTACTTATGTTGTCCTGTTGTATTTATAGTCTGAATGTTTGGACCAGTAGTCTACTCTTAGGTTGTGAGTAGGCAAATGATTGTGAAAATAAGTACACGTATACCCATTCCTAGACAACTGACCATCAGAACAAATACTTTGATATTTGCCAACCTAACCTTTCAAATGACACAATCATCCTTAAATCCATAATTCAAGAAGGCGTGAGTACCAAAACTGATGGTTTTGATGACATCAAACTTGGTGGCCTGGACGACAAATTGATGTGTGCCAAACTGACACACATCATCCTTAAATGCAATTTAAGCTCAATGGGTGTCTCACCTTTCTTCAGCTTTTCCATTTTACTAATTTACTAGTGGAAGTACCAATAGTTGGAATGCCCCTAAGAAACAAACACATCGTCAAGTGGCGTTGCTTAACCTGTAAAAACTTTGATATGGTCGCTTAAAATAGAGTAATTTGAAAACAATTTTAATATATTAATTTTGAACTATCTCTTTTTAAACTATTATAGAAGAACGACCAGCTCTTTATGTAAATATTACATAAGGTATCTTTAACATACATGTATTTAAACGTAATTTAAATTTTGTGCTACTTGTATGTAGAAAAGGTATATCCCTTCTGCATGCTATTTATGCAAAGTTTTCTTCCAAGATGCATCTGATACCTGGAATTGGAAACAAGTTTAACAGCATAACGCAGGTTCAAAGCGGATTACCAATTTCCTTGTATGTACAGCATTCGACCGTAAACATTGAAAAGACTAAAATTATGATCTTTAGAAATGCTGGTAAAATAAGAGAAAACGAAATTTGGTACTATAAAAAATATTGTTTTAGAAACTGTTAATGGGTTTAACTACTTAGGTATACTTTTAAATTATGATGGTAAATTTAATATTACGCAGAAACTCATAACGGACCAAGGGCGTAAAGCTCTTTTTAGCTTAACAAATACCTGTAATAAAAATCATTTCATCTTTGAAACAAAATTATCAGTCTTCATACATAGTCAAAAGTATTTTAAATTACGGTGCCATGATTTGGGGCATACGTTCTGCTAGCGATATTGAAAAATTACATTTATTCTTTTGCAAACAATTACTTGGCGTCCGAAAAACAACTTGTAGTAGTATATCTATAATGAACTCGGTAGATGCCCTTTAATTTTAGATAGAAAATGTGGGATTTTTATACGCCCACATTTTCATGTGGACGTATATTGTCGTCGCCCCTGTCCGTCCGTCCGTCCATCCACAATTGTTTGTGAACAGTCTACAGGTCACAATTTTTATCCGATTTCAATGAAACTTGAAATATAGGTTTATCACCCTAAGATCTCGGTTCCTTTCGATATTGGCATGTATCCGACTGTAACTTCATGGATTATGGCCCCTGATTGTACGAAAAATCACATTTTTAGCTTGTAAACACTGTAGAGGTCAAATTTTTTATCTGATATGGAATATTAATAAAATAGTCCTCCAAAGGGATAGTTTATCAACATTTAACTATTAACTTTAGGCTGCAGAGTTATTTAAAAACCAGCGGCTGGCAGACAAGATGCGCCCGCATTTTGCAAGAGATGGATAGAGAACAAGCTCAAAAAAACAAAACCACGATTTTTCGTACAAACGGGGGCCATAGCCCAAGAAGTTATGGTTTGAAATGCGCGAATATAGAAAGGGTCTGTGATCTTTAGGATATAAAGATATATTTTAAGTTTAATCAAAATCGGACAAAAATTATGACCGCTATAGGGTCCACAACCTTCTTATTACATACTTGTACACAATTTGCGTGTAAGGAGCGGGCAGTTTCGGTTCAATTTTCACGAAATTTGAACTCAACCATACTTAGGGTGTAACGGTGATAACGTGATTTTTCGTACAATTAAAGGCTATAATTCAGGAAGTTACGATCCGATATGCGCAAATATCTTTGGGTTATAAACATGTATTTCAAGTTTCATCATATTCGGATCAAAATTGTGGCCTCTCAGGTCTACAGCCTTGATATACCATATATTTACATTTTTTGAGTACGAGGGGCGACCATTTTGTCCGGCAGTTTTGGTCCAATTTTTCCGAAATTCTAATTCAACCGTCATTACGATGTAACGGTGATATATTCGAAAGTTGTTTTTTTAAAATAATAATTGTAACCTCTAGAGGGACCACAAGCTAAAAACGCATTTTTCGTACAATCATGGGCCATAAAGGAACCAAGATCTTTGGGTTATAAACATGGATTTCAAGTTTCATCAACGTTAGATGAAAAGTGTGACCGCTAGAATGCCCACAGGCTAAAAACGTGATTTTTCATACAATCAGGGGCCATAATCCATGAAATTTCGATCCGATACCATGCCAATATCGACAGGAGTCGAGATCCTTTGGAGATAAACATATATTTCAAGTTTCGTCAAAATCTGATACGAATTGTGACCTGTAGATTGTCCACAAACAATCGTGGACGGACAGACGGACGGGCAGGGGCGACGACAATATACGTCCACGAGAAAATACAAGCATATAAAAAGCTATTTCACACATTCCTTAAAACTATTAGCAAATCCCGAATATCCGCGCATAATTTAAATATAGAAGTAGGCCGATACAATAAAATAGAACGTGGTGAAAGAAAATGCACACTTTGTAACCTGAACTATATAGAAGACGAATTTCATTTTATTTTAAGCTATCCTTGTTATAATAAATTGCGTCATCAATTCATCAAACCATACTTTTTACGAAAACCTAATATATTTAAATTAATTCAATTATTAAATACAACTTCAATATCCGAACTACGAAACCTGGCCAAATTTCTCATTTCTGCAGATAAGGAAAGAGCCACTCTATTAAATAATAATTAAACTTGACACATTACCTGACCTGACTAGAATGTAATCCCCCCCCCCCCACCACACACACACACACTTTGATTTGACTGTTACATGGTCATTACTATGGTAATAATCAATTTTATTTTTCCTGTTTTAAAGGTCATTTTAGAAGATTGAAAAGAAAAACAAATTAACGGGTGATTTTATGAAGTTTATAATAATTACTGATTCTTTCCGTCGTGTTTAAATTTGTGTATCCTATTTAGACTAGCAATTTAACACAATTTATTTACATCCCACCCCATACCTTTTGTTTGTTGTCTGTTTGTATTTAATTGCCATGTATATATTGTTTGTGTGTATGTAATTATAATATTTGTATTTACTTGCCATGTATATATCGTTTGTATGCAATTATAATGTTTGTATATGTGTTATCTGATGAGTCAGTAGCCTTAAAGAAATAAAGAATTGAATTGACCAATACCACCACTCTGCGCCTTTGACCTGGAGGAGGCTTACAGAGCCCCAGTCCCAGCCTTCCCCCGCCACCTGACAGATCAAAAGGTTTTCTTATTATGGTATTTTGTTGTGGATGGTAAAAGCACCAGAGTTGGAACACTAGTCATGAGAAGAAAATACAATGCCAATGGTATGATTTATGTCATGGATTTATTAGCCATTTGCCATCAATATCTTTGGTAGGACAGATCAAAAAGTTTGCTTATGATGGTATTTTGGGTAGAAGGTAAAAGTATCATAGTTAAAACGCGAGTCATGAGAAGAAAATACAATGGCATGATTTATGTCATGTATTTATCATCTTTATAGATCGTATATTATTCAACGTGAGTTTTACATGCATGTAGTCGTAGATCAGGAGGGGGGGTTGGATGGCCGAATGGTTGTATCATAAGGTCTGTCATGGAGTCAACTGGCGTGGTTTCGATTTCCCGGTTGTACGTAACAAGGAGTAGGGTCGCCTGTCCAATCTCGTGGGTTTTCTCTGGGTCTTCCGGTTTCCAGTGCCGAAATGACATAGTTTGTGTCGAGTGGACATTAGCCCCCCCCCCTCTCTCTCTCATAGACCAGGAGCCCAGGGGGTCGGCCTAGCCGACAAGTGTACCAGTTTTCTCCTAATGGTATCAATGCATGTTTATCATCAGAATGTAAGTCTACTGAGTATCTGGTGGTGAGTATGGCTTTGAGGTAGGGTTGTGATTCTGGGTGTGAATTCTTGGGTTAGATTAGCTCAAAAGTGTATCGCATGAAAATCGAACAGCAGTGTACCGTACATCTTCAAGTATTACAAAAACACCTGGACAGACATTTCTAGTGGTGAGGTACCCCTGACAAGAGTTGTTTAATTTCCAGACCACAGCTAGGCTAAATTAGCTGAAATCTGTACTACTTAAAACAGTATTGGGGTTGTTTAGCCCCACCACAGGAATCATGAATGACCATTGCCAGACAGTTTGTGCGGTAGGTTACCCCTATCAGACACATCTCAAAATGCCACGCCCCCAACTAGGCTAGATTAGCCTATTAAATTATAATGGTACTTTTCAAGAGATCTGGAAATGTCAATAAAAAAACCACTTTAAAAAAGAGACATGTTCAGATATTAGTTTATTCTTATATTATAGTCTTCATCAGAAGATTCAAAAACAAAGATCATAATATGAGCTGATCAACAGCTCACATTTGGATATGCTTCAGATACCCAACCACATTGTAAATCTTCATTCCAGCCATGGATGGCAGAGTCATCTTGTTCGATCATTGATTTTCCAGCTTGTCTCTATATTGTTGCACCATAAATGCTGCGTTTAATGCGCAGCAAAGGACCACTAATGATCGAACAAGATGACCCTGCAATACATGGCTAGAATGAAGATTTACAATGCGATTGGGTATCTGGCGCATATCAAAAGTATATGGACCTGTTGTTTAGCAACCAAGAAGATATATTATGAACTTTAATTTTGAATCTTCTGATGAAGACTAAGAATAAAAAAATATCTAAACATATCACTGATTTACTGTGTTTTTGATTTACATTTAAAGATCTCCTAAAAAGTACCATTATAATCTAATGTTTTGAATGACGAAATTGTTAGCCTACTAAACGAAAAAGCTAACGAGAAGC